GGCAGAGGAGAGGCCAAGGAGAGAAGGAGAAGAGATGGCCGAACGGTGGACTAGCGGCAGATGAGCGGCGGATGAGCGGCAGACACAGAGCAACAGCAAAGGACGAATGAGACTGATGTATCAGTTGCACGAATAAGGACCGACGAGGGAAAAGAGTGTGGGTGATATGTATCAGCTGTAAAAGTGAAGGACATCATGGTCAATAAAAAAATTATGTGCTAGCCATAGATGTCCACTCCAACTGATCACGTTTTGAAAGCAACCCAAAGTAGCTTTGCAAATTTCTCCATCTCAAACGTATTTGAAAGTCAGTTTGGAAAGTACGTTTTACTTGAAAAAAGGAAGCCAAACAACATTTTACATTTGGAAAGTTAAAATTTACTTTTGGGATGTAAACGTGATCAAATCCAAACGCACACTTAATCTCTTCATCCACGTTCCATTTTTATCATCAGATTTCGAGAGACTGTGTTAAGAAACAATACACCCTGCCAAAAAAAAAGAAAGGATGTGTTTTGAGTTTTTTTAACAAAAAAAAAAAACCTGAGACGTTTGAGCTAATCAAGTGGTTTTTTATTGGAAAATATCGTGATTTTTATTTACATAATTTGATAAATAGATTTTTTCCCCCTTGCAATCGAGTTGCCCATAACTGGATCTTTTTAAATAAAATCACGTGGCTAGCGGATAAAATTGTCAATAAGGATCAGAGCTGGTAGATTATCCTTTTAATCCTCGTGTTTTTTTACGGCCAGACTTGAAAAACTAGATAATTTTGATATAAAAAGGCCTTTAAGCAATATTTTTAGAATTAGATTGAATATTGAATTAGAAAAGCTAATCATAGTTTATATGATCAAACTAGAATTGGATTAATGATAGAACCGATAACATAATAATTAAATAAAAATAATATTATATATATATAATAAATATAAGAAAAAGATCTTTAGTATGTTAGTAAATTAACATAACATGACTGTAAATTGATAATATTGTAAATTATAATTTTATAACTTGTTAAGTATAAGTAAATTTTGATTAAATTAAATATGAGTAAACTTAAAAATATTTATATTTGCATATATAATTATCAACATTTCTATAAAAAATGGTCTTAAATCATATTTTATACAAATGAATTGTTCAAAAATAAAGTTAGCTTTTAATAATATTTAATTTTTGAATTTTTCTAGTTTTTTAAATTTCTCAAGTTTTTTTAATATTATCTTTAAAATTTTTTGATTTTTTTAAAACCACTTCGATTTCCTGACTCAATCATGAAAATAATTTTTTATTTAAAGTGAGCTATTAATGGCTTTAGTCGATAATCCGACCATTCAATTTAGTTCAATTTTTAAATCATTGCTTTTAAGTTGTGCTATTATAAGCCCTACAAAATCGAGCTTATACTCAACTCAACTTTTAAGTCTTTATAACTCTTTTTTAAACTTTATTTGTATGTTTTATTCAGGGAGAATGACACTAAGAGCCTTAAAAAGCAAGAATTTTATATATAAGGCCTAATAGATTCTAAAATTATTCTGAAGGCCTAAAGGCCTCATTTGTAATTATATTTTCTGGTGGAATGACTAATTTGTCCCTTTCATAACCAGCTGTTGAACGAAAATTTCATCTTCTTCCTCTGTTCTTCCTCCTTCTTCCTTCTCTTCCTTCCTCTTTCAACATTGATACAATAACCAAATTTATTTTCTTCTCCATCATGCTTCTCTATTCCTTCTCTTCTTCTTCCTCCTTCTTCCTTCTTTATCTCATTTGAAGCTTTTTTGTTCAACATGTATGAGTGGGTGATCTACTTTTATCCGGATGGATATGGAGAAGATGATTGGGCATTCATCCGATTATATTCCTCCCACGGCAACCAGCTTCTTGAAACGATCCGCCATATCAGTTTTATCTAATCATGATATTTGCGTTCACGTTCATTTAATGAAAATGAGTTATTATTTATAAATTTTTTGTTATTTTCAATACATATTTTTTTGCAACTGATATAAATGTTCTGGTGTAGATGTTGTTTATGAAATTTATGTTATTATTTATGGAGTTTACATTATGAAAACTTTGCAATTAACTTGTGTGGATATTTATATATATCATATCGACAAACCTTGTATTATAAATATATGAATATTGTATTGTTAGCAAATGGATACTTTCATGTTATATATGGACCTTTTGTTCTTCATAAACTTGAAAAACTTTTTCAAATATTCAGTTTAATTACATAAATCATGTGAAATAGATGGAAATTGTGTTGTTAATAAAGGGACCTTGTCATATTATATACAGACTTTTTATTGTTCATAAATTTAAGAAACTTTTTGTTAAGCCTAGCCAACTGATAAATTGGACACACATGGACTTTTAATTTAGAATATACGAATATTGTATTGTGCATGGTGGATATTGTGTTGTGCATTATTTGCTTACTTATGCATTTTGTCAAGCCTAGTCTACTGATAAAGTAGAATCTTATGGACTTTTAATTGAGAATAAATGAACCTTATATTGTGCATAATGGACATTGTGTTATACATTATTTGCCTATTTGTACATTTTATTAAGCTTAGCCTACTGATAAAGCAAAATCATATGGATTTTTAGTTGATAATATATAAATCTTAAGTTGTGCATAAGTATTGTGTTGTGCATTTTTTGCTTACTTCTACATTTTGTCAAGCTTAGCCTACTAATAAAGTAGAATCTCATGGACTTTTAGTTGAGAATAAATGAACCTTATATTGTGCATAGTGAATATTATATTATGCATTGTTTGCCTATTTGTGCATTTTGTTAGCCCTAGCCTACTGATAAAGTATAATCGTATGGATTTTTAGTTGAAAATATATTAACCCTATGTTGTGTATAGTAGATATCGTATTGTTTATTATTTGCTTACTTGTGTATTTTATCAAGTCTAACCCACTGATGAAGTAGAATTTTATGAATTTTTAGTTGATAATAAATGAACCTTACACTGTGTATAATGAATATTGTATTATGTATTATTTGCCTAATTTCAATATTTTGTTAAGCCTAGCATAATGATAAATTAGAATTACATGGACTTTCAAGTGAGAATATAGCACGAACCTTTTTTCTTGCAACTTTAGCTAGCCATCCTCCCGGGAGGCCACAAATAAGGAGGATACAGTCTTTCAAGATGAGAAGATTTATCATTGTCCAAGATATGGGAAGGCCGGACATAGTTGCAAGGCATGCAAGAATCCTAACCCAGCATGAGAAGTGATTACATTATACTTCTTTGGTATACACAAGTAACTATAATTATGTATGCAAAAGCACTTCTAAATAATATTTTTTGGCTAAGTGAGAATTACAAATATTTTTTGTTTGTATATGGAGAAGCAACTATTAGATATTTTAAATATAGTGGCAAATTTTTTATATATATCAGACTTAAAATATTGTGTCAAATTTCATGTGGGTACTTGCTTTAGTACCCAGGCTTATATCAACATGAAATTATTCATATATGATGTAATTGTCCTTCTTAATATTGAAAATGCATAGACTTTATGTTGAGCATGCGTGGACATTTTCTCGTGCATAGTGGATATTGTGTCATGAATAGTCTGCCTAACGTCATTTTGTTATAGCCTAGGCTAGCAAAATACTGAAAATGTATGAATTTTTTGTTAAGCACACGTGGACATTGTATTATGCATAGTGAATGTTGTGTCGTGCATGGTCTGTCTAGTCATTTTTGTTAAAGCCAATGCTAGTGAAATACTTAAAATACATGAACTTTCTATTGAGATGCGTGGACATTGTCTTGTGCATAGTGGATGTTATATCATGTATGGTCTATTTTGTTATTTTAAGAGTTTATGCAAGTTCTAAATTTAAATCAAACAAAAGGCAAAATCATACTTTTGGTTTCAAGAAAATTGACAATAAGGGCCTCAAAGCTTGCAGAGCAATATCAGATTGATTTAGACCCAGATTATAATAAAACCCATTTTTAAAGCCTTTAATACCATTCCCCTTTTTATTTAAAGTTTTGAATTAATATATAAAAATAACACAATATCTTAAATATTTATTCTAGGTAATGAATACAAAGTGAATGGGGTTTTTGAAATAACATTGTGAATGGACATCCCTTGGAGGGTTTAATGTTTTATTTTTAAGTGAAGATTGATGATAACAATTACTTAAGAAAATTTGCATTTTAGACATTTAATTAAGATACTTTGTAATTTTATGCAATAAATTAAATATTTAGATATTTATATTATTCAACTCATGCTTAAAAATATGTTACATTTTAATTACTTACTTTGAAGTAAAATTGTTTCAAATAAATAATTTAAGGTACTATGTGCTCATTAAATAATAGTTCAAGAATAAAAATACAACTTAACTCGAATTCACTTAGTATGATATACAACATGTTCGATTAAATTTAAATCTTAGTTAACACTTTTAACGTTAAAGAAAAATATATTACCTTTTGATTAATCTAAAAGTAAAATTGTCATGAAAAATAATTCAATACACTAGGCGTTCTTTAAAGAATAATTTAAGAATAAAAATTCACTTTCAACTTGGTAAATAAAATCACAATCCTGGCGGACGCGGACATAAATTTATATTCTTCTAAAGTGAAGCCATCCCGACTACAAGTACATGATGTCACATAGATAAATGAATTGGGCCTCGGTCATAACGAAGGAAGATTCAATATGTCCAAAGATCCCAGTGGGTCCATCTTTAATGGAAACTCGTGATAATCACCTTGGCGTACTCTGCTTCTGGCCCATATTGAGTAGGGGTCCAATTTCAGTGTGAACTCTAAAGAGAGTCCCTCGGGATGGGTTATATCTAGTGTCAAGTCCAGATAATGACCCAACATGCTCGTGGCCCATTTTCACTACTAGCCCAATTGAAGAGCCTAAGTTCAAAACTGAGAAGCCCTTGGGACAGGTAGATTTTGTACACAAATACTTGTATGCACGTATTTCTACATCTATGCGTCACTCTTCTGAAAGCGGGAAGCATTTGGCTCCCTCCTTGAAGCCTAAAGCCATCAAGCTGCTTCTCTTCTTCTAAACTCGCTCCCGAGTTCTCTATTTCTCTGCCATATCAAGAAAATGGGTATAAAGGTATGAGCTTTTTCTTCATCTTCACATCCTCAACTTGTGACATTTCCATTTTGTTTTGGAATTAATTCGGTTTATTTTGTTGAGCTTTTTTTTTTTTTTTTTTTTTTAGGGTTTAACAAAGCTTTTAGCGGATAATGCTCCTAAATCCATGAAGGAGCATAAATTTGAAAGCTATTTTGGCCGCAAAATTGCCATTGACGCCAGTATGAGCATCTACCAATTTCTAGTCTGTATCCTTCACCTTGCCTCCTCATGATTAGATTAGCCTTGAAGACGTTTGAAGGACAATGATACTGTAAGACTTTCATGATGGGTGTATTTGATTTGGCGCAGATTGTCGTGGGAAGAAGTGGAACTGAGATGCTTACCAATGAAGCTGGTGAAGTTACAAGGTCACCTTTTGAAATTATTCTCTTGACTAAAATCAGCCAATTTCTGACGAGGATTAGTATAGTTTAGTTGTTTTATCTTTGAACAATCTGTTCACGATGACATTATTGTTATTAATATAATTATTTTTGGTCTCGGCTGGTTTTACAGTCATTTGCAAGGCATGTTTTCACGGACTATCAGACTTCTAGAAGCCGGAATAAAGCCAGTGTAAATTGTCTCATCTTCCTTTCATTGGAAGATGAGGGTTCCTTTCATTGGAACCCTCATCTTGTTCGCTAACTTGTGTGCTCTTGCTGAACTTATAATGCTTATTTCCAGATATGTTTTTGATGGGAAGCCCCCAGAACTGAAGAAACAAGAGCTGGCCAAACGGTACAATTTGTTAACTTTCTGTACTTTATAAGAATTCACTACATTTTTTGAGGTTTAACTTCTAACTTTTCATTTCTTCTTAATCAAAATTAAAACTTTTCTTTGCTAATAATACGCTATTCTTACTAAATTATTAATAGTTTCTCGAAGAGGGCTGATGCTGGTGAGGATTTGTCTGAAGCCAAGGAGGTACGTGCTTAATTTGTTTTTGACTCTTCTCGCCTCTTGTTTTCCGTTGCAGAACATGTATCGCATATTGACTTGGCCGCTTTCTTTTCTTGTCCAGACTGGCACTAAGGAAGACATTGAGAAATTTAGTAAACGGACTGTGAAGGTGACTCTTCATTAATCCAATTCCACTTTTAGGAAATTTTTAATCACCACAAGATATGGCACTATTTCCTTAGACATGTTCCAATGACCATGCTCTATTATGTGATAAATTTTCCACATCATGGATAGAAGCATCTCATTTGTTGCATGCTGTTGAGCCCTTAGCTTCCATTCTCTTGCAGGTGACAAAGCAACATAATGAAGACTGCAAAAGGCTTTTAAGACTTATGGGAGTGCCTGTGGTTGAGGTGGCATTATGCTACTCAAGTATTTGTTTGATAATGTGCATATATGTGTCATTAATTGTGCCATGTTGCTAAGGCTTTGGTTTCCACAGGCTCCCTCGGAAGCAGAGGCACAATGTGCTGCACTTTGCAAGTCAGGAAAGGCAAGTGCTTATAATCTTGCCACTGCATTTTCATTAGTAGGTCATTTTCAAAAGGAAAAGAATTGTTATTCATTGTTTAAGAGTAGGTCTTTTTCAAAAACAAAAGCACTGCAAGAAGTTTTATGTAAGTGTTTGTGTGTGTATTTGACTTGTATGTATGCCAGCATATATATTGTGTGTACTTGACTTTCTTGCTTTCATATTTTTGTTATCTGATCCTAATTTTGCGTTGCATTAAATATCAAATACTTTATTTATCTTTTGAATGTTACTGGATTAATTAGAAATATTGCGTAGCTCTCACCTTCTGTGGAATTTATATTGAATATTTATGTATTACAGGTTTATGCAGTAGCTTCTGAAGACATGGATTCGTTGACATTTGGAGCTCCTAAATTTCTTAGACATTTGATGGATCCTAGCTCCAAGAAAATCCCAGTCATGGAATTTGAAGTTGCAAAGGTCTTGACAGCTTAGATACATGGGATTTTTACCGTTTGATCTGCTCATGTTGATATTTCTCTTGGTTCAGATTTTGGAGGAGCTAAATCTTAGCATGGACCAATTCATTGATTTGTGCATTCTTTCTGGGTGCGACTACTGTGATAGTATTCGAGGTAATTTTTCTCCCTTTTGTCTGTATGATACTAGGATCTGGGATTTGATTTATGATTGCCATATATTCTCAATATGTCTATCAATGCAGTATAAATCATCTATGCTGCAGGGATTGGGGGACTGACTGCCCTGAAACTCATACGCCAACATGGCTCTATAGAGAATATATTGGAGAATATAAACAAAGAGAGGTTCTTCTGATACTACATTGCAGAATTTACCATATACAATTTCTTTTTTTGTGATGTGCTGAAAATTATTACAACTCATCATGTTATAAAATCATGTAAAAATAGGGTTTCAGTTTGTTAAACATATGATAATACACCCTTGTGGGTTAGACATCTCAACCTAGATATTTTAGCCATTCTAAGTTTGCTGATGATCTAACTTGGATGACCTCATGTACAACTTATCTGCTTGCCTTTTAAATGTTTAGGCATTTGGCTCCTTTATCTAAAAATGTTTTCTGCTTTTTTGGTAGTTTATATGAGATCAATGATTTCTATTAGTGCTGGAGAACCTTTTTGTAGCTTACAAGCTCCTAGATGTTCTCTTCTCAAAATACTAGATTCTTGATATTATGCTATTGATCTTTCTTTCGTAGTAATACATGCAGAACATTCATTCAGGTACCAAATACCAGATGATTGGCCATATAAGGAGGCTCGGCAACTTTTTAAAGAACCATTAGTCTTAACTGAAGAGGAGCAACTTGATCTTAAGTGGACTGCTCCAGATGAAGATGTAATAACTAATCTTATTGAGAAGTTAATTATGCTTTCAAACATACTGGGGATGCTCATACGCATACCCAAACTTGCATATTTTTATGCATGTTGATATCAATAGTTGTTGATCCCTGTGTGTGTATATGTTTTGGTACTACGCAATGATTACTAGACTCCATCATTTTGCCTTTCTCACAGGGATTAATTGCATTTTTGGTAAATGAGAATGGCTTCAATGCTGACAGGGTTGCCAAGGTTTGTAGCCTTAAATGTTACTGCTGTGGCCCTTTTGATTATTATTTCAATTTACTTTGGAATCCTCTCTTTTATGGCTTATTTCCAATTTAGGCAATAGAAAAGATTAAAGCAGCCAAGAACAAGTCATCGCAAGGCCGGTAAATGGTCTCAATCTCATTGAGAACAAGTGATAAGCATTTTTCTTTTCTTGGGTCAATAATGCCTAACTCCCTTTCTTTCCTGCTTTCTGTATACAACAGGTTGGAATCCTTCTTCAAGCCTGCCGTGAATCAATCTGCACCCATTAAAAGGAAGGTATGTTTCCAATAAATCTATTATTTCACCTTTATAGAATTTATTGAAAAATCCATGGAAAATAATTTGTCAATATGTTTAAATGGGAAATTAGATAAAATGGTTTTTGGCTATATGATGAGCTTTCAATGGTAGAGTAGATATACCAGAAACTTCCATAGTTACTGGAAATCCTAAAGCTGATTTGCTAGCTATAGTTCTGGCTTAAACTTAATGACTGAGAAGTAAATGCCTGCTTAGAATTTTCAAACCAACATGCATTTGAGATGTTATCTCTACAAGTTTCTTCTTGTCAAGGTCCATCATCACTAGTAACTTGATCGGGCCAAAATATATTCTAGGTTCCAAGGTCATTGTCCAGATATGTGGGGTTTCTTATGGTCTTGAAGCTTAATAACATTGGTGAGCTATCAAAGCCTACCTATGCTTAGCATAAATTCTATGTTGCGGTAACCAACATGATCTAATTGTAATTATGTGGGCAGACCATAATTTTAATTGGAAGTAGATTTAATTTGGTAGCCATAGTGGCCTCAGACTAAAGGGATCCACTTCTACATTCCTCAGTCAGTATCATGGCAATTCACTATAGGTGTTCCCAGCCATGCTACCATGCTGGGAGGGTACTTCGTTGAGCAGTATTAGTGCTGTATATGAGTTTACAGCAATAAACTGAATGGGCTCTTCCACTTCATGGCTTGAGATTGTCTGTCAATTCCTTTTTGTTAAAAAAAAAAAAAATCAAGGGATAGGCACTAACGGTTTGAAATTACAAGCGGGATTGAACCTGTGATTGAATCAATGCCTTCATGGCTTGAATTTGCATACCACTAGGCTACAACGCCATCAGCAATCAAAGCTTTTACAAATTGCATCATTGCATCTTCATTGCCCATGGAAGCATATCCCTAGCAATCGAATCTTGATATTACATAATATTGATAAAAAGTTGCTAATGATGAAAGTCTAACTAAAGAGGAGCAAACTATTCTTTTTAAAAACGAAGCTGAATACATGATAAATAATCTATATCTTGCCAAGTGCATGATCTTTTCTTCTTTGACAGGAAATACCAGAGAATAGTGCAAAGGAGACTAACAAAAAGGCCAAGGGTGGTGGTGGGAGGAAGAAGAAATAGCTGACTTGGTGACATGGAAGAGTGAAAAAAAGAACCCGTTTACCTTGTGATCAGGTTAGAGTTTCTCAGCCTGGATCTTCCATGTCTGATTTCTTCTGTTTGTGTCCTATTATTTTGATTTTACCTTTCCTTTTATTGATCATATATGGGAGGCCGGTAAATTTGGCACAATAAAGTTGTTTTTATCCCCGTTACCATGTGATGTGAGAAATTTTAAACTAATATCCGCAGGACAAATGGGAACAATAGTGAATTTTGCCAAGACTTGTATAACGTCAGAAATTTAAAATAAACTCGGTGGTTTTAGGCCTGGGAAGGAGCAAGTGGGCCAGAAGAAATTCCGAGGAGCTGGCCATTCTAAAGTGGGACACCTTTTTCTTCCATTTTATACTACTTTCAGCTAGAGGATCGGACTGGCTGCACCAGCGTGAAATCTATGCTTAGATTTTGTGATTAGACATTGCATTGCATCTATAATGTATATCTCTGCATATATTGGTTGCTGGAATAGCAGTTCTAAGAATGACAAGTTAATTTTCAATAACTACTAGTTAGGTTGAATTATGATGTGAAATTGTTAAAATATCCGATGTGCTTACCAGTTCCTAATGCCTTATAATATATATATATATATATATGTATGTATGTATGTATGTATGTATGTATGTATATTGCAGTTTGCACTGGGGTGATCAACTTGCGATTGTCGAGTGCAATCATCCAAATTGTAAAATACATGTACTGCGATCATGTGGTTTATATTTGTGGATTTTGACCGATCCATTCGGAGACTTCTAATTGTCATTGAATGGGAATTTGATATGCGTTAACTTTGATAAATCTAATTCCGTCCTGTATCTACCATCGTTCAATGCGCACGAGAAAGGGGCAAGGGGTGCCCAATTCTTTCGTCTCCTTTTTCTCTCTACTCATCCAAACTGTTGAATTTGTGGGGTCTCCATCTCTGTCATCCAAAGTTCCAAACCATTCAATTTGTGGGGCCCTTATCTTCCTCTGCTTAGCGTCAGGTGGGTGGGAATTAATATAGATATTATCTATTGCTTAAGCGACTTGGTCTCAAGCAATTTTGGTCTTAAACGACTTTTTCAATTGATTAAAATAAATACCTGCCTTATTTGTTTTTTTTAAATACTGTGAAAGCAATTACATGTTTTAAAATTATTTAAATTAAAATTTTTGTTCTTGTGTTTGAAATTAAAATTAAGGTAATTGCATTAAACCTACTTTTGAAAGTTCAAAATTAATCTCTAACTTTTTTTTTTTAATCTATAGGCTCCCTTACTGTTATTTTTTAATTATCTAATTGATAGAGGTAGTCATATTATATTAGCTTGCGTCAAATGCCAGATAAATTGTTACATATCTATTTTTAATATAATATGACAACTTTAATCAGTAAGATAGTTAATAATAGTAGAGGAGTTTGTGGTATCAAAAAAAAAAAAGTTAGAGATTAGTTTTAAACTTCTTTTTAAAGTAAATGGGGTTTGTGCAATTGCTTCCAAATTTAAGGGTGTTTTATATGTTTTAGTCTAATTTTAATTTAAAATACAAGAATAAAATTTTTAATTTAAATAATTTTAAAGCATGTAATAGCATTTACAACATTTTTGTAACAAATAACGTGGGAATTTATTTTAATCATTCAAAAAGTCCAAAATTGTCTGAGATGAAGCTGTTCAAGCAATAGATAATATATTAATTCCCACCCACCTGAAGCTTAGGAGAGGCGGGTAAGGGCCCCACAAGTTCAATGGTTTGGAAGACAGCAATGGAGACCCCACAAATTGAACGGTTTGGATGACAGAAATGGAGAACCCACAAATTCAACGGTTTGGATGAGAGAAATGAAGAGTAAAAGGAGAAGAGAGAATTGGAGAGCGTTCGCTTCTTTCTATTTTCTCTCTATATCTTATCTTAATCATTAGATATAATTTTGGATGGGTGAAATTAAATATTTTATAAAATTAATTTTTTTATTTTTTAATTATTATTAAAACATTAAATTATAAAATTAATTTTTTTATTTTTTAATTATTATTAAAACATTAAATTTAGGGAAAATAAATAAATTTAAGATATAATTAATTTTATCTAAATTACAATTCAAGATTATAATTAAAAAATAAAAAAATTAATTTTATAAAATATTAAATCTTGACCATTCAAACAAAAAAGCTGATGGTTTATATGAGAAATGAAGAGAAAGTGGAGGGAGTAAAAAATGGAGAGAAGCCAACCTATTGGAGACGCCCCTTGTCAGGAGGCAGTGAGCATCAGGCTGAAATCTCACTCAGTTACTCAAGTGTTTTATTATTATTATTATTATAGAAGAGGATTCTAGTTAATGAAGACTTGGAGAGTTAGTAAAATAACATGTAGATAGGGATATTCAAAAAAATAAGTGATTTTTTAATAAAATAAGTTGAAATAAATGGTCTTATGTTGCATTGACCAAGGATGAACCATGCTTCCTTCATCCTTTTCCTTATCGACGTGTACATAGAAACGCCACTGGCAACTTAACAGGAGAATAAGTAAGACAGGTGACAAACAATACCAATGGACGCGCAAGTTACGTCCTTGTAGTATTGAAAACACAGAGAGAATGAGGAATGTGATGGTGGGCCATGCAATGACTTTTCTTCGGGGCATGCTCCATGCTCCGCCAAATGAAGTTATAAATAAATACGGTGCACCCTCTTTCCTTCCCATCTTGTTATCATCTTCCTTGGGTCAACTCAAACGCTCATACTTTCTTCTTTGCATTTCACTCTACCACTCTGCATCTAACATATTCCAATCATATATACCCAACTATGAAGTTCTCCCTCTCGCTGCTTCTGCTCCCTCTTGCTCTGGTTTTTGCTGCTGTCATCGCATCTGATCCCGATCCTCTCCAAGACCTCTGTGTCGCTGATCTTACCTCCGGTATCCCTCCTCTCTCTTTCTCTAGTTTTGCTTTAACTAGAAGACCATGAGCCAAACTTCTTTTAATCCTTTTTTTTTTCTTTTTTTGTTTTTTTTTTAAATAGTCCATAAGGGTAAACGATTTGATCCATTTGGTTTGATTTTCTTTTAGAATACGTTGATCCCATGTTGTCGGATAGTGTTCTGTTAGCACTAAAAATGATTCAAGTTTTGCTTGCTGCTGTTGTCAAGTTTAACCACTCTCATACCGAAAGTGACTGTGAAAATACAGCTGTTAAAGTAAACGGGTTCGTGTGCAAGGATGCTTCAAAGGTGAATGCATCAGACTTCTTCTCCAACATGCTAGCCAAACCAGGAGCCACCAACAACACCTTCGGCGCATTGGTCACCGCAGCCAACGTCCAGAAAATCCCTGGACTCAACACCCTCGGCGTCTCACTCTCACGCGTCGACTTCGCGCCTGGTGGCCTCAACCCGCCCCACACTCACCCACGCGCCACCGAGATGATTTTTGTGCTCAAAGGCAAGCTTCTGGTCGGCTTCATAACCACGTCCAATCAGTTCATATCCAAGAAGATTCACAAGGGCGAGATCTTTGTGTTCCCGAAAGGTTTGGTTCATTTCCAAAAGAACGACGGGCATGAAGCTGCCTCTGTAATTGCAGCATACAATAGTCAGTTTGCTGGGACGCAGTCTATCCCCACCACCTTGTTCGCCGCCACACCGGCAGTGCCAGACAATGTTTTGACGAAGGCATTCCAGGTAGGTACCAAGGAGGTTGAGAAAATAAAGTCTAGACTCGCACCCAAGAAGCAGTAGGTTTTGGGGTTGTTCCGCTCTCTTCAGTTTCTGTCCACGCATGTCACCCGCCGCCACTATTTTACTACTATTCGCTGTAATTTGGAATTCAGGAAGAATAAAGTGATAGAAATGTGAAACATACTTGTAAGCTCGTTTTTTCAAATGTACTCTCAATGATTCTGCTGATCTTTCCATATCATCCCTTCCATGCCATGCATATTAATTTGTTTGCGTTTTCTACAACAGCAACAGTGAAAGTAACCATGTCCCTTCCCCACTTTTCTCCTCCTTGGGGGCCATGTTGTGAATTAGAAGGACAGGATAGACAAATAACTGGATTTTCGAGTAACAGACTACCGTTAGCTTCTTTTTCTTGTATTTTTTTTTTGTTTGTGCTTTTTTTGGGGGGGGGGGGGTCAATCGCTTCGGTGAAAACATTCTTTTCCGTATATGCAATGTGCTTATTGAACATGTCTTGCACACAGGATGTTTGGTCACTTTTTTATGGGTGTAATAATGTTAACTTTTTTATTCAATCAATTCGTTCAAGATTTAAATGGTCCCACACCAGACCTGCCGCTCCAAATAATATCGCCGTCCAAAATAGTGCACCAATTTGCCTTTTTTTTTTGAAGGGCCGAGTAAGCAGCAAAATGTAGCAATTTTTTTCTTTTTTGGCAAAGTAACGAGGAGCAATTTGCTTTGTCTTATGCCTGTGACGGGGCTTTTTTCTGTTATTGATCATAGTACATTTCTTTGGAAGTGATTAAAGGAGGATTAAAGGACATTTTTATTATTCTTCAAGACTATTTAATATTTTAAATTTTTATGTGATGTTATTTTATCCTATAATTTTTAAAAATAATACTTTGGGCACTCTACGGTTATAAAAAAATTAACTTTTTTTATTAATTGAACTAAAATGATAAAAAAAAATTAAAAATTACAAAAAATGATCTAAAAATTATACATAAATACCCTATAAAAAATTTGTATCAATTAAGTGTCCTAAATTACATATATAATAGGGTACATATGTTATTTCTTGCCCACATAAAATGTCAAAATATGATTTTGACAAACCATTGACTTAATCGATATTAATTTTTTATAGGGTACTAATTTATAATTTTATGAGTCATGTTTTGTTATTTTTAGGTCATGTTTTACAATTTTTAAGTCAATTAATAGTTAAAGTTATTTTTTTTAACAATAGAGTATCTTGTGTATCATTTTCAAAAGTTAAAAGGCAAAATTATACCACATGAAAATTTAAGAAAAAATATAATTTTAAATTTTTGTATTTTGCTTGAATTTTTCTATAGATTCTTACACTTTTTTTTTTCCAATATTCTAAATCTCTATATTTTATTTTTTGATGTTCTAAATCTCTTCATGAGCGGTGTTATAAAGACCTAAAAAATTGAAAATAAAAGTGGAGGAATTTAGAATATCAAAAAATACAGGGACTTATAAGAAAACTCAAACAAAATATAGAGATTCACAGTTATGTTTTTTCAAAATTTAAAATGTTATATGCTCTTGAGTAAATAGTTGAAAGGTAAAAATTTTCTTCTAAATCATTAGAGAAAACCACACGCAATTCTAGGTAGTCGATAAATTAGGATGTTGCCCTCTCCAATAAGATAATTTTTAAAATGGCCAACCCTTGCATGCCATCTCCTAAGCTGTTTATTGTATAAACATTTTAACGAGCCATGGTACCTATTAATTATGAATAATATCACTCATTTTCATATTCCGTGTGACATATAAGACCCATATCATTCACCTCATCCACATTAACCACATCATTCAGCTTCTATTTTTTTAATCAATTAATATGTAGCCTGTGCGATTCACTGGATGTGAAAAAATAAAAATAATTTAAATAAATAATAATTAAAAAATTAAAAAATAAAATGTTATTAAGTGAAGATAATTTTTTTTACTAATGTATAAATAATTTTTAATATATATACACTATACAAACATGCTACAGTGTTGTAGGTTCTTTGTTGTTACTTTAGTCCTACTAATTGTTTTTAGCATGACCTTTGTGTGTGAGAGAGAGAGAGAGAGAGAGAGAGAGAGAGAGAGAGAGAGAGAGAGAGAGAGAGAGAGAGAGAGAGAGAGAGAGAGAGAGAGGAAACTCTTAATATTTAAAACTCATAAATTGATTAAAGCTTATCAATAATATACATAATTTTTGTCAGAGAAAGTGTTGTAACTTTATTGATGCTTGAAATGAAAATGTGCTGCCTCATGTTCTAACGAAATAGCCTGCAATTTACAAAAAAAAAAATGGGTAAATTACATTTTCCATGACCATTTCATAATATGGAAATGATTGGCACAAAGTAAGAAAGAACATCATTGCAAATATATTATAAAATAAAATATTATTTACACATGCTAGTGACGAACTGTAGGAAAAAAAAAGGTTTGAATCTTAAACTTTAATTCTAAATTCCTAGAAACAAAGAAATATTAGTAGAAACACAAAAAGATGGAAACATAAAAACACATTACCAATCCACTGACTTGATCTAAATTGTCTTTTAGCATTGGTGAAAATATCAATAGCGGCAAATGCATGCTCATTTTACTCAAATGGAATAGCTTATCCATGCTTGTCACTTGATAATAAGCTAGAAAAAAATTTGCAACTTCAAATTCAACATGCAAAAACTCTGGTACTACACATTTTAAAGCATATGAGAAATTTAACTTTAAAAAAAGGAGGATATCATGAAGCAAGGTAATATCTTCACAGAATTAAAAGATAAGAGATTAGAAAGTAGGAATGGCGTTGTTTGTTCATAATCAAAGTCATGTGTTATTAATTCATGAGAACCTAGAACTAATGGGCCACTAATATACATGACTTGGTATATTGCAATTAAGAAATGAAGCATCAAAAGAGTCATTTAGTCTAGATATGATGAACCAAATATTCAATAGTTAAAAGAAAGATATGGCATAGTGGATGCTCAAGGTTATGGTGGAGGAATATGATTCCTTTGGAGACAAGACTGTGATATTCATTTGATTGATGAGCATCAACAATTCATTCACTGCTCCATTTAATGTCTTGGTAAGTCATAATGGTGGTTTACTATTGTTTATGCTAACCCGAATGTGAGCGTTCGTAGAAGTCTTTAGAGGGAGTTAGCTCGGATTTGAGTGAGTCTGGACGGACCATGGTGTATTGCAGGAGACTTTAACGCCATCCTCACTCAATGTGAATGACGCTCGTCATCAAGCAAGTCTTCGCATGTTGACGTGGATTTTCGAAGGTGGTTTGATTCTTTTGATCTTATAGACTTAGGGTTTATAGGACTTGAGTTCACTTGGCAGTGGGGTGTTTGCAGTAGTTGCATTGATCGTGCTATTGCTAATGGTACCTGGGTGGATGCCTTCCCTAATGCTACGATCACTCACTTGGCGTTGTTGAAGTCTGATCATAGACCCATGCTGCTACAACTAGATCCTGGTGGTAGGAGCTTTGTTGACAGGCTATTTAGATTTATTGCTTCTTGGGTCTTACATGATAAATTTGAGAACTTCGTTCAGGATACCTGGACTGTTAAGAACGGGTGGAGTGAGGAGGTCTCTAATTTTACTCATAAATGTAGTGCTTGGAATAGACAAGTTTATGGTCACTTAAGCTCCCATAAGAAATCTTTGTAAGGCGCTTGGATGGGATTAACAAAGCTATGACATGAGATAATGACAATACTGATCTCATAGAAACCTAACAACGCTTATAGAAGGAGCTTGAAGAAGTGATAATGCATGAGGGGCTTTTATGGGCCAAAAAATCTAAGCTTGAGTAGTCTCTTTTTGGGGATAAGAACACAAAAATTTTCCATGCAGCAGCAAATGGGAGAAGAAAGGCTAATAGTATCTATGCATTGAGAAATGATGGTGGTGAGTGGATCTATGACAATCAAACCTTGAAAAGGATGACTACAACTTTCTTCCATACTTTATTCCCTGAAGATCATATAGTGCGTAACACCCTCCAATGCAGTGTGACCTTTCCTATGATTGAGGTCTCAGACTTAGCTCCCATGGGGAAGACAGTGAGTGATGCAGAAATCAAAGAGGCTATTTTTAGTATGGGTGCGGTTAAATTTCTTGGTCCTGATGGACTTAGTCCCATTTTTTTACCAATCAATGGAAGACAATAGGGCCCTCAGTGGTCAGATTTATTAAAGATATGTTTGCAAATCCTGAAAGAATCCAAGAAATTAACAACACTTTTATCATGCTAATTCCAAAGAAAGAACATCCAAAGTCTATTCATGATTTGCGGCCAATTAGTCTGTGTAACGTCATTTTCAAAGCCATTAAAAAGGTGATTACCAATAGATTAAAATATGTCCTTCCAAAAGTTATATCTCCCTACTAGTGCAGCTTTATTCCAGGCCGACACAGCTCAGACAACATAATTGTTGGTCAATAAGTCATTCACTCGATGCGTAAAATGAAAGGAAAAAGGGGATATATGGCAGTCAAGATCAACCTGGAGAAGGCATACGACAGGTTGAATTGGAGTTTTATTATCAATTGTCTTCAAGAATTAAATTTGCCTAATGATCTTGTAGAAGTCATCAAACATTCTGTGTCTTCTTCCACCATGCAGATTCTGTAGAATGGAAGCCGGGCTGAGTCTTTCAATCTTGGTAGAGGAGTTCATCAGGGTGACCCACTGTCCCCATATCTTTTTGTTATTAGCATGGAGAAATTATCGCACCTTATACAAATGCAGTGTCAAAATGAAAGATGGCAGCCTATTCGAATGGGTAAGAAAGGTCCTCCAATTTCTCACCTTTGTTTTGTTAATGATATTTTACTTTTTGTGAAAGCTTCTATGAACCGGGCGCTAGTTTTAAAGGAATGCCTAGATACCTTCTTTGACAGCTCTGATATGAAGGTCAACAGTTCTCAGATGAGGATATTCCATTCTAAAAATATACACAGTAATCGTAGAGAAGAGATAAGTAATCTCTTAGGCTTCACTTGCACGTTCGACCTTGGAAAATATCTAGGGGTTTAATTGCACCACCAACGAGTTGGGAAAAATACGTTCAGTGATACTATAGAGTAGACTGACTCAGTGAAAGGTTAACAAGCTATCGCTAATGGGAAGACAAATGCTTATTAATTTTATCTCCTTAGCGATTCGGGCGTACATTATGCAAACAGCCCATTTACCTGTTAGCATTTATGAAGACTTGGATAAACAAAACTATACCTTTTTATGGGGCCAAACAGATGATCAAAGGAAAACGCACTTGGTTGCATGGAAGAGTGTGTGTAAGCCAAAGAAACATGGTGGGTTAGTGCTCTAACATGCACGTACACATAACCATGCTCTGTTCATGAAAATCGGGTGGCACATGGTGACACGTAAAGATGACTTTTAGGTTCAGGTTGTTCGTGAGAAATACAATTATGGCCAAGACATTTTGCCTCATATCAATATGGAAAAAGCAGGATCTAATGTTTGGTATGGGATCAAAGCCACTTGGAAGGATGTCAGTTCCGAAATTGAGGTGGTGAATGGAGGAAATCATGTGAGATGGAAGTATGACAGACACGAAATGTTCACTATGAAGTCAGCTTATGACTCCCTCCTGTAGCTGGATTCCGACCCCAATCGCATTTGGGAATGACTTTGGAAGCTGCATGTCCCTCAAAGGTGCAAGTCCTTTGTCTGGTTGGCAATTCAAGATCGTCTCTTAACAAATGAAGTTAGAACTAGGTGAGGTATGGCAATAGACGACAGGTGCTCATGGTGCAACTTAGATCGTGAAGGGATTCTACATGCTTTATAGGATTGTCCACTCATGGCTGAGTTGTGGTCCTCTATTATTGATAATAGTAAGCTTCATGAATTCTTCACCCTTGACAAAACATAGTGGTTTGAACGTAACCTCAAATGGAGTGGAAGTTTAAAGTTTAATGATTGGGCTGCTATATTCACTACTTTATACTGGTTAATATGGAAGAGACGTAATAAGTGAACCTTTGAACACGAGTCAGTTTAATGAGAGCTAATTAGCTGAAGCAAATGCCATTCATGGCTCCATCATCTTTACTAGGAAAAAGATCACGAGTGCTAACGGGAACGGCGTGATATTACGAGAGTTCGAACAATGGCTGTCACCTCCCGCTCTTGGCTGGGTGTCGGTTAGTGTTGATAGTGCTTTTTCGCACATCACAAAAAGTGCAGGTTGTGGAGGACTGATAAAAGACAGCTTTGGGAAATTCATTGTAGGTTTCATGCATTGCTTGTCCTAGGGCGATAGTCTCACTGCTGAACTTTAGGGTATACTCCTTGGTACTTGTCTAGTGTGGGATGCTGGCTATCATAAAGTGATCATTGAATTAGATTCCTCTGAGGCTGTTCAACTAATTTATAGGGAGGATAATACTACTAATCTTGATGCTAATATTTTACGAGATATAAATGAGCTTTAGAAATGAAGCTGGGAGCTTAAGTTCATATATCTACCACGTACTGCAAATGCAGCAGCTAATCATTTGGCTTAACAAGTGCTGGACATGGAACTTGGTTACACAACTATTAGTTCTCCTGTTATTAGCTTTTTGCATGTTTTAAATAACGATACCCATCACGGTACTCATGCCCCATAGTTGGGGTCTCTTATTATTAAAAAAAAAAAGATTGATAAGAACATTAAACAGATATTACTATAGATTCCATAGATAGAGAATGTTTATACTGATCATAAGGTACGGTGAAGTAGCTTCTTTAAAAAAGGATACATTGAACAATTGTTTCCTTATCTTGGCCAACAAAAAAAAATATTGTTCTTTACCTACAAGCTTTATATATATATATATACACACACATATGGATATGGACTCTCAAGGTGCATAGACATTTCAATTGATATTAAAAAAAAATATTACATTCTCATATTCAATGTTGCTAGATACAATTGCTCAATAAAAATTGAAAACCATACAATTATTTAAGGAGACACATCCATTTAACTCAAGCAGCACTACATTTCATCAAGCTAGAGATTTCATGATTAAATAAAAAAAATAACCAAATTACAATATATCCTAAATACATCAATGAGTTGGCATTGAATCTTGAACCTAAAGGAAAGGAAATGACAAACATTGAAATGTGGTTATGAAAAAAGGTAATTCTAAATGATTTGATGAACTTGAAGGAATGAATACAACAGATAATATTTAAAAATGAATTTAAAAAGGGACAAGAAAGTAGAACACATATTTTTAATATAAAAAAAAAACCCATTTCTTTATTTTTACTTATGGAAAAATGTGCAAATTTCTTTATTTGTTTGTCTATCTCAATGACCAAAACACAAAGCTAATAATCACTTGAATAACATGTAAATCAACAAAATAAGCACATGATCAAAGTTTGTAAGAATAATTTGATTCAAGTCCATATATATAAACTCATAATTGAATGAAAACAAAACTAAAATTATAGAATAAGATAGACTCACGCTCATATGATGCAGAGCTTGAGCATTTTCTCTATCATCTTCATCTCTAGCTTCATTGCATTAACAATAACTATAATTAGAAAATTTTCATATATATATATATATATATATCAAAAGGAAATGGTGGAAATTTACAATAAAGTTTGAAAAATTATGACTTTGGCATCTTTAGTTTAATATTTGTAGTAAGATGAGATCTCAAAATAAACTTTTCTTGCACAGAAAAATCAAAGTCACTAAAAGTAGAAAACAAATCTTGTTTGATGAAATGAGAGAAAATTTTGAGAATTCAAATAAAAATTTTTACCTTTGAATATGTAGTTAATGGCTGGTCTCTATCCATGGTCTTAACATGGAAGGCCTCTAACCTTCAAACCAAAAGAATTATAAAATGAAAATGATAGTTTTAAATTTATAATTTGCAAAATGTGTTAAAAATTAGCTCAACCAACTTATGTTGAAAAAAAAACTGAATATCATTTAACACCTCATTTTGCAACCACTCTATATGTAACTATACTATCCATGTTAGACAAATTAGTGTTAATTACAAAAATTAAAATTCAACTTTAAATTTAAAGCTAATATGACTTGACAAATTGTTATAATGTAGAGATTTTTAAGCATAAAATAATTTTATATTTATTTTAAATTATGAGTAATTAAAATCAAAATTAAAATTATACTAATGAGAAATTGAGATAATATAAAAATATTTAGGAGAGGTAATTTCATTTATATTTAAAAGTTAAAAAATAAATAAATCAAAATTACTTTAGAGACAGATTTCATGCTGCTTGCGATTTTACTTTTATATGTATAGACTAGATTACGTTAATGCATCTGATTCTGATAAACATTTAATTTAATAATAATAATAATAAGAACAAGTACGGGCAATAATGGTTATACATGATGCTATACAGCTGGTAACAATTGTTAGACTGCCAATCCACATCAATCTGTTATGTCATCCAACACATGAAGATATTCGGCATGGGAATAATTTTACAAAACAACATTCAATAAATTAACAATGTAGTGTAGTGCCAATAAACTTCACAACAAAATTTGTCATTTTAGGGTAAGCTTTCACAATTTAGGAGATTAGCCATGAATTAAACCCAAACTCCGAGCCCCAAAAGATTCACATTGACATGATTCCACAACCTTAGGACTCCCATTTAACAAAGGATTACTTCAAATTTGTCTGCTGCCTCCCATCAGGGATTGCAAATAGCACGATAGGCTTTGAAGGACGCAAGAAGGGCACATCACACCTGAAATATCCCTTCCTCTCCAGCTGCAATATTTCTCCACGCTTTAAATTTCTCATGTTTGAGTCTCCATACGCTGCAGTCTCCTTCTTTGTACAGGGGTTAAGAACATCGAGGAAATCCTCCCCTTCTTCAAGCTGCAATAAAGCCAGGTATGTCGTTTTTCACAATTACTAATAAATCAAATTCAAAGAATCAAACTAACTCCGATAATTTGAAGGTGCACAAGACAGAATCTGGCACCGTTCCCAAATACAATCAAATCGATATTTCTTTTCATGGTACAGATTTTATGCCGCATCTGGAGGTTTATCAACAGATCATTTTAACCCTTAATTCGGCTTCAATTAAAACGAATATAGCATGGTATAGATAAAAGACAGCTAACTACAAAATCTACCTGGATATAGTTATGTTTTTTTTAGTGAACATATAATTATGCTTGTAACTAATAGAGATCTCTCACTCTAGTAACCGTATGAATCAGTTTCAAACAATGTATAATAGCTTCGTGCAACCCATATAATGAACCTCACTCGGATGCATTTGGTTAGAGGTTTTGGAAGAGGAGGGGAGGGACCTCTTACCGTTTCCTTCCAATTTGAGATTTTTCTTTTTATGGGAAAGGAGAGAGAAATATTTCCACACTAAATTACCCTTTCCTTTTTTCCTGAAAATTCCACACTAAATTCAATATATAATTTTTTCATGCATGAAATTTGGATATTTTTTATAAGATAGACTGATAAATTGTAATATTGATGCATTGTTTTTCAAAAAAATATTATTAATGTAAGTTGAAGATATTAACATCCTTGAAATAAGAAATTAATAATTATAATATAACTTTTTTTTTCTAATAATATAAAAAAGAAAAAATAAAAACCAACTTAAATTTGATAGGGATAAAATTGTCAACTTATTATTAGCTCTCATCCCTTCCCCTTCCCTCCTCTTTCTTCCATTAAAATCTCTCTCCTCCCTTGAACCAAACACATCCTTAGTGAGATAAGGCTTTTGGAATAAGCAACAATATTACAGTGGACAAGTGCGTACCTTTTTCTTCGTAATTAAGTAATCAAAGTCAACCAATGTGAGGTTAACTAGTTCATCTATCTCAGGTAGCCAAGTAAGTTTTAATTTTGTCGTCTTCACAGATCCTTCAAGATGCAAGACACCACTCAACCGTGTGACATTACCCTCTTGGTCCTTCTCTATTTCCTTCACTATAGCATTTCCCCAATCCATTAACGTCACTTCTTCACCCGCAGATATGGACACTGCGTCAGCATGGTCTATCCATATCCGATTAGTATATGTCGTTGCTTTTTCTCCAGCATCTTCGTACTTCTTGTGCCTAGGTATAATGCGAACAAATGGCATCTCCGGACCATCAGTTAGGGTCAACAACACACGTTTCTCTGCAATGACAGCAGTGTGTCTGGGACAGACCGGGTCAATTATTTTCTTATTAATAGTCCAGAGCTTGTCCCATTCCATGAGATTGAGATTTTTAGATCCGCCCTATAAAGTATCAGGGAAGAACAACCATCAATATAAAATGAGTACTTCACAATAATACACTAACGAGAGAATGAAATTTTAAAGAGAATGACGCCTTCACTTTTCAAAACTAATAATGGAAGCAAAGCTTATGTACCTGCTCAACGATAAACTGTATCAATGCTTCAATTTTCAAGCCTCTACGCACAATCCCTTGCACAGTTGGAAACCGTGCATCATCCCATCCATCAACCTGTCCATTTTGGACAAACCACAGAAGTTTGCGCTTACTGAGAAGAGTATACACCATATTCAATCGGCTGAACTCATAAATGTTAACCTTTCTCATCCCCATGTCTTCTTGAATCCGGTAATACTGAGCATTGCGGTCATGGTATTCACTAGATCGAAGGGCATGTGTAATACCTTCTCTAGCATCAACGTATGGACATGCAAAATCATAAGTTGGGTACACTTTATACTTGGATCCAATCCTATGATGAGGCATTGGATTGCATCGATAATAAACAGGATCTCGCAGTGATTTGTTTAAATCCTGCATATCCAACTTTCCACGAACACAGCACTGCAGGCCTCTCTCAGTTCCAGCAATCATTTCCCTCCACAATTTCAGATTCTCCTCTACACTATTGTTCCTACATTTTGATTCTATACCATCCATCCTCTCCTTCTGCATTTGTTCACGGGGAGTGTCATCAACATATGCTTTACCCTCGCGAATTAATTTTTCAGCCATTTCCATTAGCTCAGCAAAGTAATCTGATGTATATGTTATAGTTTCATATTTGATACCCAATGTATCAATATCTTTCAGAAGGTTGTCCACAAATTCATTGCTTTCTTTAGCAGGATTAGTGTCATCAAATCGCACAATAATTTGGCCTTGATATCTCTCAGCAAAATATTTGTTCAACAGAGCTGCTTTTGAATGTCCAATATGAAGATAGCCACTAGGTTCTGGTGCAAACCTCAAGCGAACTTTTCCAATTTCAGCATCTGGAAGATCTACTTCCACCGAAGGCCTGCTTCCTGCTTTTGCCTTCTCAAAGACATCCCCATTCACATTCTTCATGTTATCCATGGTAACTTGGTGGTCTTTCGACTTAGTTGCCGGCTTTCCCAATCCCCTTTTGCCAACATAAGTTGCTGTGATTTCGTTCAATGCTTCACCATGTTCAGTCAATATTGAATTGAACCATCGTACAAGGTTCACATACTTTTTTGATTTCCTCAAGCTTTCCCATCTCTGTCCAGCTCCTGGGAAAGCAAAGCACAAATAAAGTATAGAACTCTAATGCAGAATCAAATGTTTCATACACATGCACAGGATTTTAAAAAATCATTGACAGCCATATTGTTGGTTCTTCTTACATTGGAAATAAAGCTAAACATAACAAATAAACGGATCATTGATGGACTTATTAATATATACAGCATAAGATAATACATAAGCCTAGTTCTTTGATAAAAATATCACCTGAAAATTACAAACTTATTCATCCATAGGTATCCCACCTGGTGGAATAAGGCTTGTTGTTATTGTATTCATCCATAGGTAGGTTGATTAAAAGCAATGAATGTCAAACTAGAGTTGAACAGAAATAATAAGAAATGTTTACCAGCAAGACTCGACCAGATTGCTATATCTGCCACTGATAAAGAATGACCAACCAAAAAAGTACGCCTCTCCAAGTACTCATCAACATATTTGCATGCATTCTCAAAAGCAGAACCTGATGAAAAGACAGGAGCATACTCCAGCCATTCATCAATCTGAAAAGGTATTGGCAAGAATAAACATTTAGAACCAAAATAGCAACAAATAAAAGAATTGGGAAGAAAATCAAAAGTCCTTTCATGAGCAGCCAAACCACAGTCATGTTTTAATGGTACACTCAAATTATATAAGTGTTAACTACAAGTATTTAGTTTCACTCCAAATTTTTATACATCTTTCAAGAGTAAACGAACAACATTTGTCGTAAGGGTCACATCTGAAAATAACCTGGCCAGATTCTAATGCATTTTTCCCGTAGAAATTGGGAATGCTAGCAACTCTCCCAATATATCGTAGAAGAACACATGCTCCATGCAATTTTAGCCTGCATAGCATAAAATATGTTACATGAAACAGGAGAAAAGCGAAATCAGATAGGTGTAGACTGCAGAGCATCTAAGAAGTCCATAAACAATCGTAATCTTATGTGTTCTATATTCTTTACGAAGCACTGTGATCCTCAAAATTGAACACATGAAACTTGGTTAACTAAGACAGTTCTTTACGGGTATTAAAATATACAAGACTTGTAACGAGCAAACCACCCTGATATAATGAAGAATATAGATAATAAATATTAAAAAAAAAATGCACATTCTTATAGTTTTTCTTGATTTTGAATTAAATCCATGTAATTTATTTTGTTTTAATCAAGTCCTTATAATTTGATTTACTAGACTTATTAATCTCTAAAGGTTAAATCTTTGGATTTTTCCTTTTAAAAAAATAAATTAAGAACTTTTATATTTTTATTAAAAAGTTATATAATTTTAGAAATAATCACATAATTTTATAACTCAAAATTTATATAATTAGATCATATTTTCTAAATAATTTTTATACATGTAAAATTTTTATAAAACATTAATAAAATATTGTATTAAATCAAATTTTCTATAAACGTCAAAAGTATTGTTGTTTTAGGAATTTTAATCATTTATTAATAATTTTAACCTTCAGAAATTAATGTATTTAATGGACTAAACTATAAGAACTTGATTAAAATAAAGTAAACTAAAAGCACTGTGGATCAATTTTCCCTAAATATTATACACTTGTGAAGAATATACTGTAACAAAAGGAAGGGGGGGGGAAGAAAAGCGAGCATCACATCACCACCGAGGAAAAAACTGAGCATTCACATTTCACACTCAGACATACATCATTACCGACGAGCTTCAATACAACTAGATTATAACAAATCTCAATAGCTCTTCATCTGTTTTGAGGTACCTAATCTTGTGCATTTACCCTGATATAAAAGAGAAGGGAAAGTACAACCTAGTGATAAGAATTAGTTACATAACAACAAGAACGAAGAGAATTCCATCTTACCCAGTGGAAAAGAGAAACGTCGGAGCAGAGTCAGAGGGTAGTGACGTATCGATCGGAAGAGAAATTTCAGCAAGCTTAGCAGCAACGATCACCGATAACGGCGGACTAGCAGCAGCGAATGAGAACCTTTCAATATCCATGCTAACATGCAACGGATACAAGCAGCAAAGATAGCTCCCCCGATAGAGTTCTCAGAATGCCGGTGGGCTGGGCTAGCCTGTTTCCGCAATTAACCTGTTTTGTTTTTAAAAAAGAAATCAATAAATATTATTCTTGATACGGATTACAGCTTCAGATGATCAGTGATTAATAATACAGCTTTAGATTAATAAGAATTAAGAAAAACCAATCGAAAAATCCAGCAACTATTACCAAAATCCACCATACAAAATGCCAAAAAGTATCATCGAAACCAGGGAGTAACAGTGATGAATATTAAAAAAAATCATGGCTCCATCTAATTGCAAAGATCAGACCAAACCGAAAAATAAATCGAGGGAGGAGACGGAGATGAACCAGAATACGATCGCAAGACACAAAGGACGATGGCGGAAAGCCAACGTCGGAGAACGAATGGAGGAGCACGAAGCCACGAGCCACGAAAGATGGAGCAAAGGGAGCAAGAAGGACGAAGAGGAGAGAAGGCAGAACCGCAGAGCGAGTCGCCGAGTCGGCAGAGAGGCGGTGAGGATAAGAGAGGGAGGCGTGGACTATGGAGAGTCGAGGGAATGAGGAACTGAGAAAGAAGCAAGGACCCAAGGGTTTCAAGTTTTTGCAAAAGGCACAGTATAATGAACCACAGCACAGTATTAATTAATTAAAAAAAAAAAACATACAATTTTACAGCGCAGAAATGAGCTACCCCAATAACTAACCCATAACTCGTCCTGCAAGTTTGTTTCTACATACGGGCTAGCCTGACTTTATAGCCCATCTATTGGCTGGCCCATAATCTATACCTGTCAAATCTTGCGGATTCATGGAGTCAGCAGGCCACTTGCCCGGCCCAAGGAAAGGTGGTGGATAAGAGGTAACATTAACAGGTTTTTTTAACCTATGTTTGGGTTAATAAATTTAAATTTAAATTTAAAATTTAAAATTTTCATATACATTTATGTAAATTCAAAACCATAAATTTTTATATACTCAATTAAAAAATTTGACTCAATTTCAAATTTAAATGTAGATTTATATACATTCAATGGTAAATTGTAGAAATATATAAAAAAGTAAGTCGAAGAGACACACTAATACTAATGATGGACAGCAGCCCCCGCTCCACGTAAAAATAAATATTTATAAATTAACAAAAAAAATTTTAACCGACGTTTTTGTCACGCCCTGCAGTTGTGTGCTGGCAAACAAGCTCTTAAACATAAAGGGCTCTTCCTCGTTTCCTCCTACTTACTATTTTATTTCGGTTTGAAGGACTACTAATCCGGATCGTGAATACGATTGTTTTTCTGGATATTCCACGTCATGTTGTCACCCGAACTTCCTTTAAAAAATTTAAATATCTAAATTGAAGTTATTTCTGCACGATTTGATATGTTGTCTATTGAATAAAGCCTGGCGGAGAGGACACTCCACCATGTTCCAACGCTGGGCCTTCTGCAACAAACGATCTATTTAAACAGCTATTTGACTGGAAATAACATCAAAATCAAATACACCAACGGCAAGCTGCCAAACTGCCAAGGGAGGTGAGTAAAATTAATACATATCTACAGCGTACAGGTACAGTATGTTACAGAAATGCGGCCAGTGGCAAAACGTTAAACAAATGAAACCAAAGTTACATTTAAGAAGGAACGCCATTCCTTCCCCCAATCGCTTCGTGATCTACAAAACAGATTGTATCATCTTATTTTCAAAATTTAAGCCCTCTATTTCTGGGCTGCAGCGAGTTCGACTGTTATAATGAAGGATGATTTGCCTGCTTCCCTCAGATAACGGACATCTCCATTCATGAGCTTTACCAGCTTTCGACTGATAAGCAGGCTAATACCCTCCTCGGATTCTTGCCCATCACTTCCAAACATCTGGTTTAGCAATGCTTCCGGAATCCCACTCCCAGCATGTGTTACGCTGAATTTTCACCAACGCAGAAAAATAATAATTGGTTAGGCTAAATATAGTTCTAATGCAGGATTCTTCTACTTATATGTGTATTTAAATTAAATAACAACACAGTTTAATAGATGAGTGTGAATTAATCTACCTGAGCTCCAAATTGGCAAGGTGGACTGATTGTCCCAATTGATCTTTCGTTAAAGAGGCTGCAACCACCACCTTACCTCCAGAGGGTGTAAAAGTGACGGACATCAATAAGAAGTCGGCTAAGACCTGTTGAAGTCTTAGACTGTCACCATATAAGGTTTCTGTCATGATCTGCTCGGCCACCTCGTTCACTATCCTGACACCCTTTGCATTGCTCTTTGTCATTACTTGACTGAGAGAGGCAACCAACACTTCATGCAGAGTAAATTCAACCATCTCCAGATCTAAGTACCTATTGAGCATGCAGGAAACAAAGGAATATTACAATTGTTATTATACTTGACAACAAAAACAAAAAACAAAACAAAACAAAACAACAGGAACTGCATTTTTGGGCTCATCTACTCTCTTTCACTGACATGCTCCAACAGACCTGGCACTACAATGTGCATGCGTGTCTCTTCTGGCATAGTTCATACTTCTAGGAATTAACTAACCAAGAATGATGGAGGACTACATAATACTATCCATAGCAACTCGAAGACATAAGTATATGCGAGTGAAAAAATAGTGCGAAACACAAAAGATTAGTAAATTGTGATTACCTCCAACAAAAATTGAAAATAAGTAAATGCCAAGTCAACTCGGGCATTTGATCCAAGCTAACCATTTAGAAAGCATGGTCAAGAATCAAAACAAAGTCTTTTTTCTTCATGATATAATCATGTCCCCCACAGCATGATTCTTATTGGACTCTAGATAATTTGCTCCACACAGCATGCATTAAAGAAGGCAAAAAAGAATAATATAAGGTAAATAAACAAACGAAATGTTACCCATCAATGATGCGGTCAAGATCAGAGTCATCAAGAACTTTGCTGAGCTGGCGCTGGCACAGGGAACTAGTGTGCAGAAGTTGTTTCTGTTCAGCTCCCAACTCAGTATCCTCCAACATTTTACGGGAGAACACGATCCCACATAAAGGGTTCCGTATCTGCCTTTTCATGTAAGTTAAAACTTTCAGTCTCTTCAAGGCAGTTTGTTCAGATAGCCGCTGAATATGTAATGCTTGTTGCAACTCTGGGCTAGCTAGCTGCAAGAAGCAGAAAACCCCTGTAACTGTACCCTCTACGTCCAACTTCTTACTCACAGAAAGCAGGCACTCTACATACTTTCCATTCCGAGAGAAAAAGCCAAAAGCAACCTTCTCAGTTTCCAAACCAGTCATGGCTTTATTAAGTACAATTCCAAAATTAACAAAAGCTTCTTGATTCTTTAGACGACAACAAGCTGCATGAGTTCCAAAAACTTCCCCTAAGAGCATTTTGTCCATCACCTCCTCTCGCTTCCATCCAGTTAACTTGATCATTGCAGGATTCCACTCACAACACCAGCCAAATTCATCTGTACCAAATATGGGGGGGATCAATGGGTTTGGATTCTGGACAATCGCCTTGTAATCACCTTCAATACGAGTGAATTTGTCCATAACTGTCTTCTGAGCAGTTATATCTTGGGCCACGAAACAAACCCCCACTACATTGTCTCGAAGATCTCTGCTTGCACAAGCATTAACAACCAACCTGATAGGACCAGCATCAATCTTAGATGCGTGTGTTTTGATCTCAAATTGGACGTTCTGCTCTTCTTCACCTGTTTAGATCATAACAGGATAAATCAGTCATATAGATGGTAAGATGTATACAAAATAAGTACATATGATCCTGTTGTTTCATATGGGTGCATGATTTCTTCTCGAGTGTTTTAGATCAAGCAACTACTGAGGTGTTTGACTCAATTTGGGAAGCAAGATAGTAACTTCTCATATGTCTTCAACAATGCAATTCGCAATGATGGCAATAGGGATGATTGTATGCTCGTAGATGAATACTCATGGACATATTTTTAAGTACTTTCTAATTAAGGCTAAGGCTGAAAAATAAAAATTAAGAAAGAAATCAGCTTGAAAAAGGAAATAACCAGGCGGAAAGGACAAACCTTGCAGTGCCATGTCCAGCATCTTCTTCACCCTATCAGTTGAAGAATCCTCAACTAGTGTGAGTAGATGCTTCCCGATTGCTTCACCAACTGGAAGACTCGTCAGCTCAGCAATTTTTGTATTCCATCCATTGACCAGCCCATCAACATCAACTGCCAAAATTGGCACTGTTGCTGTTTCAATTAACCTCACCATCTCACTTGTCACTGCCTCCAATTCCTGCATCCCTTCAATCTTCAAATCGCTCAATCTTGTGTTAATTGCACTGGTGGTTATATCCATATTCTCTGTATCTTTAAATGCATTCCTCAGGATTAACTGCAAGGAATGGATAGCATCCATTTCGTAGTCCTTCCATGGTAAGCTCCTTGACTTCACAACCTCAAGGAAAGCTTTAAATGATGATCTTGGATGCATCCTCCTATTGTCATCCTGCTCACCAGGTTCATGCTTCGCACCACCCCATCGAATTTCTGCAGCAGTATGCGACCGAAACCAGAAAACCATATCTCTTGAAGATATTCTCACGGCTGCCATTCCGCATACTATATCGCCAAAAGCAAGAGCACTTGGGAACCCTGCCTCAGACAAGCTATCCGTACTTAGACCTGTAGAATCCATATGGTTCTCAGAGAGCCATATAGATATCTCTTGGATCTGGGATTCACTTGGCGTTACTCCTATCCTCCATACCTTGTTTTTATACAAGAGAGCAGCCCCATCACATTTCACAAGATCCATTATATTTGGGCTCTGTGATATTATACCAAGGGGTGCATCTCGCATCAGCATATCACAAAGAAGTGTTTGGGTGCGCAGGATGTTTTTCTCAACAATCTGGAATTCTAACTCTAATTCTTTATTCACGTGGATGGCAAATACTTGAGCCAGAAATTCACAAGCATACCGAAGAGGAAATGGAACAAACCTTGGTGTAGTGTTATGGCAAACTACTAAACCCCAAAGTCTCTTTCTCTTCTGTGGCTGGATAGAATCAGAGCTGTCCAAATCTTCATCACTGTCATTGACCACAACTGCCATAACCAGGGAAGCAATTGAATTCATGTTCTCCATATATTGCAAATGGCAACTATGAGGAGCCCTCAAGGTTGAACCACACAAAGTTAACTCCAATGGAAGTTTTGCATCTTGAAGCACCTTCACATGCCTCGCACGACAATCTACAATCATACGTATCTTGTTCTTCATAAATAAAAAACGTGCAGCCTGTGGAATATCAGTGGCTGGGTAATGCAAACCCAGATATGGCTCTAAACCTGGCTTTGTGATCTCAGAGATTACTTCCCCATGATCATCCTCATGAAATTTATAAGCCATCACCCTGTCATAACCTGTGAGTTCAAAAACTTCTTGGACCATTGTATCGCATAGCCTTTCCATGCTCCCACTGGGCAGAGATTGCAATCTAGTGATTGCTTTGGCAGCAAGCTTGTAAGATTGAAGGGCACCAGCTGCAGTCATGGGAACTTCAAAAGGTTTGACGGGCTCAAAATCAATTATCAAGCTGCCAGTCACACGATGGATAATTGCATAGAAGGGCTTGCCAGAGGTCTTGCAATGGACTAAGATGGGGTTGAGAAGTGAAACTTCCCCAAATCCTAATGCTTTCTGCAATGCTGAAGCACTTGGGGCAGTGAATATGGTTCTTATGTCTGTGCCAATGCCAAGGGCAGGGTTGTCACCCACACTAGGTACAGCATGACTAACCATGGTCAACATTTCAGGAGCATTCTCACTGTATGCAATCACCTTGCATGTTTTCTCATCTAAGGCTAGCAAGCACCCAAAAGGCTGGATCAGCTTGCCTTTCTGTATGTGATGCAGGTAAGCTGTCGTCACTCGGTCAGATCTTGGTTTCTGCTCTTCATTTACAGTGCCAGAGATACGCACCGAGTTCGAGTAGTCAAAAGAGCTACCAGACTCCTCAAAATTTGCATGGAGTTTTGCATCTACAGTGGTCTGAGCAATAATTCGAGCAGTATGTCTTGACCTTCCTGAGTTACTGGATGACTGGCTAGGCCTTGAAGAGGACATTTTCACCTAAGTTACTCACCTGGCAAGATAAATAAAATGGCTAAGCTAGTCCAGATCGTGATATTTAACATTTTCCAAGAAACAAGGTTCAGACGCCAAGATTTGTCATCCAGCTCTAATAATTCTAAAAGAGAGAACAATGATCGTGCAATACTTTCTTAAGATGACAAGATTTTGAAGGACTTCAACAAGTACTGATATTTAAAAGTCATTCAAGGTGAACCAAGATAGTTCCTCTTCAGTTCACTAAAGTATACTGTTTGCAGGGCGCAAATTCTGAATAAGGATGACACAAGTCCCTTTTTAGCGCTGAAGAATTCATGAGCACGTAACTGAAGATGCTTAAGCACAGTACAAAATTTAGTTATTCTTTCCTTAATTGCCACGGAGAAACATGGATAGGTGAGCCCAAAGAACAACGATGGCAGCTGATACCATAGAAACATTAACAGGAGTTCAACACAACAGTCCCAAAATCACATACATGCTGGAGTGACAGTCAAAAAACCAAATTTACAGAACAGTATGCTGAAAGAACAAGAAACCAAGGCTGATTATCTACTCAGAACAAGAAGAATGAGCCTAACTCAAACAAACAAGATGAATTCGAAGAGAGGACAATTCGCCAGCACAGAAAAGATATGCAGGACATGACTGACCTGGAGAAGCAACAGCGAGCAGAAACCAGGTTCAAATTCACCCAACCAATGACGAGAAAACCTCAAGTCGAAAGCAGGGATTAAAAGTCCCAGGAGAGCCCACCGTAGCCAGCATCCATCTCATTGAAGGAAAACAAGCTGAGCCTCGTTCCAGGCGCTCATCTATTTGTGTGGGAAGGGAAGAGAACCCCAGTTGGGGGGGAGGGACCGCCATAAATATATAATAACAATAATAATTGTACTGAGTGGGAATAATTATCAAAGCGGGCTTTGATTATTATATTAGAAGACTGGTAATAGTGTTCCCTTGTAAAATTATTTTATCTTTTTTGCAGTTAATTTAATCGTATTCTACGTCTCAGATGATGTAATCATTCATATGTATAGACATATTTAATATTTCATGGGTTGGGGAAATGATCCATGTTGGGAAGTGGGGTGGCCTAAGCCTTAGTTTTGCAAGGATGAGAATAATGACAGTTGATCAGTTTCCCATACGTAGGATGGGTCACCCGGCGCTTAACAGACTTTTATTCAGGATCAGATCGACGAGATTTGAAATCTCTCCACTTCTTTTTCTTTCATTTTTTTTTTCATTTTTCTCATCTTCATCATTCATTAATTTTATCATTTTAAAAAATTATTTAATAAAATAATTTAAATGATAGAGATTAAAAAAATGAAAAAAAATAGAAGGAAAAAAGGGGATATCCCTCTCCCCAGATCAATGTTGGCACTCTATCTTGATAAGGGGAAAAAATCCAAGCCCATATCGTCTTTAAGATTAAAATAAAGAAGCCTAGTTGCAAGTGGCTATTAATTTAACAGTCATGATTCTTGTTTTAATTACTCGGAGAAGAAAAAGAGGGAAATAAAGGAAAGAAGCTCTATTGGGTGATTGGGTTTGGATAGGGCTCCATGCCTTGGGTTGGGGAAGGAAGGCATGGGGACAAGAGAGAGTCATGGGGGTCACGTGCAGCCCCCCAAGCAGTGTCTTGCGGCTTGGAAACACCAAACAACTTGCCAATGTATTCACTCACTCATTCATGCCTCTAGAAACTCCCCTGTGTGGTAGGGCCCTTCGCCCATATCCACCAAAAGTGAACGCAGATTTACTCTTGCTAGTGCCGGTATCACCTAATTTTTTCACCTTACCTTTTTGGAGTTCTTCATTAGGCCTTCTTTTTTTTTTAAACTAATCGCATCATGTGCTTTTGTGGTGTTGCTGTCAACTTCGAATAGGTTGGCCGGCTGTTAAAGTTTTCAGGGGTTGAGGTTCCGCAACTTTCTGGTCTACCTTTTCATGATACTGTCACTGTGTTTGCTGGAGGCGTATTGGATCCCAAGACTTTAAACCTGACGATGTCCATATATTGGATATGGATTGTATACGTGCTTGTATTGTAGTCAGATAGTATGGGATACAAAATTCGGTTCATTTTCATTCCTATAAATGGCAATGAAAACAAACCAATTTTAACAAGTCACCAAGAACTGTGTTGCAAATGAAAATCGTCTTCAAAACTTGCATATTTGTGAGCAAATTGCTAAAAAACAAAAAAAGATGTAGCTGCAAAACTATGAATCGTTGTGGTGAGAATATTGAATATGCCAGAAAACGAAGATAAGCAGATAAAAACACTTTCAGTGATTAATGTCCAAAGTTATCGTTTTACAATTTTCTCTAAATAAGTACATATCGGCAAAAGAAGCCATCTTATTCATTCATCATCTTACTTTCTGGCGGTCTCTCCTTTATATCCCTTTCCTCTCTCTTCCGCCCAGAAAATGCACGTCAGTGTGTAAAACAAAAGCCACAATGCACCACAGAGGTGTCCATCAAATCAAGTAGATCAGGGGAAGACGAGGCAAGCTGGCCTTAACACATTGAAAGCAGCAGCCCACTTTGAAAAAAGATGAGCTACCAACCCGGCTCGGGCATTAACTTTTATATAACCCAAAAAAATTAGAACTTGTGTCTCTTGTCATCAGGCCAGCATCTCATGCTTCAGACGAACCCGTCAAATCTATTAAAATCACAAACTACGCAATTATGTAGCAATAAAAGTTTCGATGCTGTTTAATTGGATGATCATGTGAACGTTGATGAAACATTAGAATTCTCTGACAGGCCACGCTATCAGAAAAAACTGTCAGTCACTTTTCATGATCAAGCGAACAGCATGGCTACCCATAACGAACAAGGGTCCAAATCCATTTAACCAACCACAAAATCAAAAGGATGGGAAGCACCTTGTTTAGCACAAAATGCTAAGCAAAAATTCAGCTACAAAGCTTTAACGGATAGGAAAATCACATCTAGGTCTCGTGCGGAGAGTAATGCTAAAACGGGGACCTGAAGGTATTGTTGACTCGACGTAGAAGCGTCTGTCAACTGGGGAGAATCAGCTGCATGTGTAGAAGTTCTGAGAGATACGGAGGAAATTGGAATGAACTAAGACTTGGATGGACAAGCTAAAATTTGTCAGATGAATTTGGACAAAATAAAATTGTAAGATGAGGTGCAAAAATTATGCATTTTTATGATAGCAGAAAGTCAGTTGAAATGTCTGAAACAACAGGAAACTGGAAATATTATTTCACATATTTTTCATCAACACTAGGAGATTCCTTATAAATTCTTCACATGCCATACACTTAACACTGTTGTACTTCCGTTACCAATGAATTCTGCAAATCACTACGGTTTCAACAATGACCTTCAAATTATATACTTTGATGATGGACCCGCGGCTTTATGGCCCAAGATGTGAAAAGGTTGTGGCCAGAGGATGAAGACAAGAGATAGTAATGGGGCGCTGGTCCAGACGTGAGGGCTTTTTTTTTTTTTTTTCCTTTTTTTGGTTTTGGGGTGGGGGGCTGTTTTGGGGAGGTGAAGTGCTGCGGAGGGCTGGAAGGGTTTATTAAGGGGTTTGAGTGCTGAGAGGAAGTAAGGAAGAAATTGGCTAGTGTGTGAGTAGAGAGCCCAAGCTTCTCGAAAGCTTGGGAGTGTCCTTGCTTTTCCTTGTAGTTTCTTTTAAATTGCTGTTTCTATATGTTTTATATTAGGTTTGAGTTGCTGCATCTGTTTCCTTGAGTAAATTCTATAGCAGAGAAGTCTTGAAGTATAATTCTGTTTATGCTTTAGTAGCAGGAGGATATTTCAGTTTTGTTTCAGATTTGGGTTCCATCATACTCGCTGCCCTCTCCATAGACTCAAAATCTGGGTGGTAAAGAAGAAAGAGACTATAAAAAGCTGCTATTTTGAATCAACACAGTGAATTGACAATGGCTATTGGTATTACCATTAAAACCTTTCACAGGATGAATGAAAAAAAATGCATATACATAAAAAAAATAAAAAATCCTAAAATAAAAATGAGAGCCAAATAACAAGGTTTCAAAAGTTTCAGTATTACTACATTCACCGCTTCTCTGCTTGAAGAAAAGTAGAGGTCCCAGAATTGCCATGAGTCTATTTTTCATCAACTTCTTTTATCCCAACAGTTGATCAAACAACCTTCAGCCATCTATCAAACCGGTTTGTTTCTCTCTGCATATTAACCTGCAAGGGATTGAGCATCCAGGTAACATGAGGTCCTTTCCAGACCATACCTATTTTGCAGAGCTGCCAAAAGGATCACGACTCGAGATGCATAATCACCAAAAGGTAACTAAAACATGTTCCAAATCTTGATCAAGTAATTATTGGATTGAAAGTGCTTCGTCTACAACTTGTCTGACCATAGTACTGAGTGAACACAAACTATGGTAGCAATGGAATCAGCCTTTTAAAATGCGAGGTATCTCAACTCTACGATGCACTTATTCAAGTTATCGAATATCCATCACTGCCCCAAAGCCAAACTTCATCCATTTGCGTACCCACTCCAAGGGAAGGAACAATAAACTAAGATTTCAGAAAAATCCCATCCAAACAACAAAGAAATCAACAGCGCATTGAGAGAAGAACTGAACGCGAAGAATCTTGAACTCATTAACTGTATCATGTGAAGACTAGCAAAATTAATCAACATGGGGATTGCATTCTCTGGAATAGAAATCATTCTTCTCTATTAAAGTTTTCAACATTACGTAAGTGAAACTTGGAGCATTAGGGTCGCTTGACGGAGACCCAGTAGGTGATTCCACAACTTGAGGGCGCGAAAAACAGAAGTAGCATCCCGCACCAGAACCACCACGAATCGTCTTGCTTGAAGCTCTGCTTACAATAGAAGCTCCAGACCCAGAAGATATGCGAAGAGCTCTTTTGTGCCTTCTATTGTGGAGTTGTTTCTTGGCTTTCGAGAATTGATGCAGGACCACCTGCTTCGCCTTTCCAATATCTTTTCCAAATCCATATTTTGTGTGCCCCTTCTTTCCATCTTCATCCGTGGCCGGTTTCCCAGCATCGTCGTCGTCGTCGTCGTCGTCGTCGTCGTCGTCGTCGTCGTTAATGCCATCACCTCCTCGGCAACCATGCCGATCTCCATCACCAGCATTCGGGATCGCCTCGCCAAAAGCAGACATTAAAATTTATTGATATCGGAAAGGCGCGGGGTTCAATTTCGTGGAAAGTGGGACCGAAGAGACTGCGAAAGAAAACGGAGTTGAGGATTCCAAAATCAATAGCCTCTTTGCCGACGAACAGTGGAGTGAGAGAGGGACAAGATGGAAATCCTCGCGAAACTCGCAACAGAAGTCGGCATCGGCAATTTCAATTGCAGGAAGTAAGTTGTAACTGCTCCTACGACGTAACATATATACATTTAAAATTAAAATTCGTCTTTACGTGGCAGTTTGCTTCCAGAAGCAATAATAATTCGATCCCACGTGTTAGATTTTCAGGGCACCAAAGATCCCATTGGGGGCAGCTTCATTTTCTTTTGACAATTGGAACTATGGGCACCATGGCGTCCCCTTGGCCCATATAATTTGTATTATGACTTAAATAATATTTTTTAACTTTTTTATAAATCATTTTTATTAAATTTATCAATATTAATAAAAAAATTTATAAAATTTTACATATATCCTTATATAACAAATTTAAAAATCAATGTCTTCTTATTTAAAAAAAAATAATTTTAAAAATAATTTTTAAATATTATATAAAAAATTATATGATGATTTATAAATGAAATCAAAAGTAATACTTAAGGAGGAACACTTAAGGATAGCATTAATAGCTGAAAAGTATGAATAGATCCTGAATTCTCATTGAAGGACTTGGAAATCATACACGAGAAATGATAAAAATATCTTTACTTATTTTGTTTAAAAAAAATCTCTTATTTAAAAAAAAATGTCCAACTTCTACCACCGCAGGCTAATTTATACTAGCGTTGGAAAAATAAATATTTTTATTATATTTTTAAATTTAGAAATTAAAATGAAACTTAATATGAAGGAAGTGATTATACTAAAACTGAGTGTAAAACTAGAGAAATAAAAATAAACCTTTACCGAAATTCATAAGATAATGAATTCCGTGTTCCATTTTGCGCCTAAATTTAGGTGATTATATATCATTTTATAAAAATATAAAAAAATTTATGGTAGAATCAAATAATTAAGAAGAAGCTCTAACTTAAATTAAAGTTTTTTTATAAAAAAAAAAAAGAGGAAACTTAAACAAACTGACTACTAGTATTAGCAGCAACATCCAAAGCTCTACGATCTAACTCAATAAGATGTGCAACATGGGTCGATGGTGTCCACACCACTTCAAGCTCTGCCACTTGACCTCGAGCTTCATTTGCTATTGCGTCCGCCACTCGATTAGCATCGCGGTCACACAACACCACTTCTACACCCATGCCTATGCCCGACCAAGTAACGCTTGAACTTCATGCATGAAATCCGCATCCCAGTTGATGACTGATTCCGTAACATAGACAGCCTCTACCACGTCCCTACAATCACACTCGACGATCACCATCCGCATGTCCCATTCCTATGCCAACTTGAGCTTCTGTCATGAACGCTGATCCAGCTCTGAGCCTGGCCGAAAAACCACGTAAAAACTCACCATGATGGTCGCGCACAAGGCCCTCACAAGCACAGCTGCCTGATGACATGCATCTACGTCCATCACCATTGATTTTCACCGCCCCATAGATAAGTAACACCCAAAGTAAATTAAATTCTTTGTCAGTTAACTCATAATTTACAAGATACCTCAAACTTGAATCAATTTGACGTCATATTTGTTAACCCTTTTCAAATTTTCAAGCTTAAATGATAATAATAATAATAATAAAAAGAAGACCCTCGTAGTGTTTCATAATTCCAAAAGCAAACCATGATCCCAACTGAAAATCACCCGTCCAAAAGGAATAATGACGACCGAAGAAACTACAGAATGATTAATAAATGATTGGCAAATTGAATTTCCACCTCACAGGATTAGAAAATGAAGAATGATGGTTAAGCCTTAAAAAATTGAATTAATGATAATTAAATCTTATCAAAATTTTCATGAACATTCAATCATTTATAAACAAAAATTTCTGTAACAATGATAGAGTTACATTTAATACTTAAATACTTATTTTTGATTAAAACTCTTGAATTATCTGACTCTATTTAAAAAAAAAATTCAGGAAACCTAACTGTCATTAATTAAAAGTTCTGGCACTTCACTGTTATTGTCTCTCAAGAAAACCCTATCAATAACCAGATACAAGATCCTTCCACCTATAACAAATGCTCATCAAAATTGAAATAAAAAATTTGGATAGTTAAAAGGTCTGATTAGGATCCTTTGTTTGCGCCCATGGAAGTAGGAAAGGGTCAAAAGTATATTGCGTATAATCGTCAAAAATGGGGTTGAGAGGATAATCAACACTCAATTCGAACAGCACCACTCTGCGACTTAATGAACTTGGGCTTCCTCACCACTTGTTCCAAACACTGTATGACGTCTCCAACCTGGAAATCGCGCCAGTCACTTATTACAAGCCCACACTCACTTCCCTTCTTCACAGTCTCTACGTCCTGCGTTTCTCTTCTCAGGGACGCACAGTTACCTTCAAACATCACTTCCCCGCTCCTCAGAAGCCTCATGATTCCTGATTTTGTCACACAACCGTCGGTGACCCGACAGCCGGCTATCTTCACATCAGGCCCCTTGGACTTGCTCCTCCCTTTAAGCTCAAATATGCTCAGCACCTCTGCCTCCCCGGCTACCTGGGTTTCAAACGTCCCTGGGGCCTTCTCTATTATCAAATTCCCCATCTCCTCCAAGAGGTGGTAAATCACACGGTGCAGCACTATCTACACCAATTCCACTACACAAATCAGAACTTCCTGGTTCCGGAACATGACACGCCAACCATGATATAATTAAATGTAAGCACAAGCTTTTTACCTTTATATTGGCACGGCCTGCTGCCTGAGTGACAGGACTAGGTGGACTCTTCACATTGAACCCAACTATGCATGCACCGCAAGCCTGTGCTAGGTCCACATCAGATTGAGAAATAGGCCCTACACCAACATGGACAACGTTCACGAAAACCTAATAATGAATGCGAAAAATGTTAAGCAACATAGGGTGAATATTAGAAAAGCACCACTGCAAATTAAATGTGTGCAAGATTTCTGACACGCTGAATGTCATGAAAGTCACCAAACAGACAACACACCGCAGCAACACAGAATATTAAGGGATTCCCAACTTCACAAGACATGAGGGTTATGATCAACCAGCAATGATGACAAGCTTGAGGTTTCTAGACAAGCATATAAATTTCAATGTGTCATTCTCATCAAGTCATGATATTACTGGTATTTGCATGATCGCATCTATTACAATCTTCTCAAATGATTGATGGTTTCTAGTAATCAGGTCACCAATCCACCAGAAGTTGAAGCAGTTAGGGTGCAAGGCTGGCTTTCACCGGACAAGCTCACCTTACTTAAGCAGACTAGAATATTATACACTAGACATTATTACGAGATTTCCTTTCTACTCCCTATTCTCTCTCCCCCTCCAGCACCTCTCCCCACAAAGATCGCTCCCTTCCCTTTGTCTTACATCAGATGTCCATGAAACAGCAACCAGTTTCTAATTCACATGAGACCCCACAAGTCAAAGCATTACGCACGTGATAAAAGGCTTCCAATTCAATGGCAATCATGAAAGTTACAAACTGGGGGTATTCATTTGCAGCAAAATAAATTATTTCTATCACTACTTTCGCAAGTGGGGTTTAATGTGTGCGAGGAAGAGTATGCACTTATGAATGTGCGCACAGAAAAGATCACAATATTGCTATGAAGATCTTTTAACATACCTGAGAACTATTTAAAGTTCTCAATGCATCTGTAACAGCTTGGACAGTTCCCTGAACATCAGCTTTCACTACTATTGGCAATTCAACCCTCTGAGGACCATCCTCAGATGACTCCATAGAATCTGTCTTTTCCTGGACCATTTTCTTAAGCCTATCCTCCTCATATTTCCTTTTCCTGCCAGCACTAAGCAATCGTGCTCGCTCTTCTGAATGAACAACAATAACATCATCACCAGCCATGGGAGTCCCCCGAAGCCCTTCAATCTCAACAGGCATAGCAGGTGTTGCTCTGTCAGTCAACTTACCTGTCACTTCTCTAATAGCCCTTATTTTGCCCCATTCTGAGCCTATAACCACATGCTGACCACAAACTAGAGTCCCTGCCTTCACAATAGCAGTAGCTAATGGACCTCGTCCTTTATCAAGTCTAGCTTCCACCACATAAGCTTGAGCAGGGCCATCAATTCGAGCCTTCAGATCCATCATTTCAGCCTGAAGGAGCAAAGCTTCCTCTAAGTTATCCAGTCCAGTTTTCATAATTGCAGAAACTTCAACCACCTGAACATCCCCACCCATCTCTTCCAGCAACAAGCCCTCTGATGCAAGCTGAAGCTTTACTCTTTCAGGATTTGCTCCTGGTTTATCACATTTATTTATTGCAACTACTACTGGTACATTAGCTGCTTTCGCGTGGGATATAGCTTCAAGTGTCTGAGGCATCACACCATCATCTGCAGCAACCACAAGCACTACCACATCTGTGACTGCAGCACCTCTTGCCCGCATTGCACTAAATGCAGCATGACCAGGTGTGTCCAGAAATGTGATTGATGCTCCAGATGGCATGGCCACCACAAAGGCACCTAGATGCTGAGTTATGCCCCCAGCCTCCTTGGCTGCTACTGATGTTTGACGCAAAGCATCAAGAAGGGAGGTTTTACCATGGTCAACGTGACCCATCACTGTTACAACTGCAGGCCGTGGTAAAATCTCTGTACCTTCAGTAGAATGTAGCCTCTTAACATTGACACCAACTTCCTGCAGGAGCAATAAACTGTAAAGAAGAAAAAGACAGCAGCAAAACAAGCAATACATCACATAAAGGATGAGCATTAGGAGCAATAACCAACAATGAAAACAAGGGGTAAGAGGAGAGATGGTTTCTAACATTCAAAACTTATACATTATTGATGAATAAGAAGGGGAAATACCATCGCAACAAGCTCTGCAATATCAACACTGAGAGGCTCAAACTCTGATTCAACTTTTTCCCCAATATTTACCAGAATATCTTGCAGAGAAGATACTGACTTTCCAGTACGCTTTGCCAGCTCAACAATAGTCATGCCTTCAAATATTTCAATTGTTTTATCAGGAACGGATTTGGTAGATTTGACCACATTCTGAGGAACATAAGGAGCTTCAACAGGGGGTTGCTGTTTACTGTCCCTTCTCACACGCTTCTCCTTCTTTGGAGACTTCAAACCAAATAACTCATCATTTCTTCTTGCCCAGAGTTCTGGATTAGCACGGAACCACCTACTGATATAAAAGAATCCCATTGTTTGTATATAATATTTTACTTTTCATCTAAGATTCTAAGCAACTAATTCCGGGCAAGTCAAGTAGTAATACAAATATAGAACCTTCCAATTTTTCAAATAGTTAAGCTTGAACTAATGCTTATTCCTTCCTCCAAGTAGTCTAAGTACAATCAAAACTAGGATCAAGATGGGTAACAAAACATTTTACCACCTATGGTTTTGTCCAAGCACTGACAAAGTGACGCCACAAATGAAGATTTCCTTGACTTAGAGACTTCCCCAAATTTTATATGAATATCATCACAAAATAGTACCAGTGTATCACATACTCATCAGCCCAACCCTTCACCAACACTGAAAGGATAGTTTTAATAAGAGCTAGACCCTTTAGTCATGCACTTCAGAAGCCATTTTCATTTCTAGAGAAGAAATAAGAGCAAATAGAAGCAACCCCAGGAAGACACTAACCATGAGTACATAAAGGGTTAAAAGCAATTAGGGGCCCTTGTAATTCAATGTATAGATCCCATTAATCTGGCATGCATCATATAAGGAAGTCGCTCCCTTCAATCCAACACATCCATGGACAGAGACCCCACTGTGGGAATAATACAACAGGATACTAATGAAACTTGATGATAAACAAGGATGAAGGTAAAAAATGATATCTCACCTATATCGTATTCCATGTTCTTTTGTTCCATTGCAAAAACCAGCTGCTCCTGCAGATGAGCGGTTGATAAAATCTGCTCATAACATTGAAATAATTTGAGTTACAGCATGTAAGTGAGGAAAAGAAGATGTGCATAAAAGATATCAATTACCAGTTAAGCATCCTGCTGATGCATAAGCAGATTTTGCTGCAAAGGTAGATGAAGAGCATGACCTTGCAACATGCCTAGATGGCACTAAAGCCAGAGCTCTGGCAAAGTTCATATATAGTCTCTGCATTTGAGTGATAATTAGGACACTATCAATGATTGGAAAATTTAGTCATGATATATCACAGTATATCCTCTATCTTTTCGTGTCAACCAACCTCCCGCTAAAAATCAACCTCACTCAAAAAAAAAAAAAAAAATGGAAGAAAAATGCTAACGCGTCAGCTTGGAACCAAAATTATGAGGATAATGGCATCTCACCTTTCTTCCAAGCTCTCTCCACGCCATTCATATGTATACAGACCCTGTAAAATTTGGGGAACTATAAATTATAAACAACATAATAGACGAAGAAAATGATGCAACTTGTCGACAGCTGACAAATGGTGATTTTTTTTTTTTTAACATCCGTAAGCACTCAACAATTACTGTGGAGTGCATAACAATAGTTTATAGTAAGAACGGAAGATAAGTCTCGGCCGTCGCCATAGAAAAGCAGCACACAAAGAAGTCGTGATGACGGCCAAAAAAATGCCCAGTTAAATAAACAGCATAAAAGAGGGAAGGATGAACATTCAACACCCGTAGTGAAGCGGCAATCATCCCCATTACAATGTGGGACTTGTGATCCCAAAGCTATTATTTCCTATTCATAAAGGGGGGGGATACCACCTGAAGCAAGAACTTGGGTGGGGGTGGAGCACTCTGCAAACAAATAGAAGAAAGAACAAAATCGACGAAGTAAAGGTAAACCAACCCAAGCCAAATAGTTTCGCCGGAAAATGAAAAACGTGAATTCACTCTTCTGGAAGCAAAGAAGCCAGAGAAAACTTGGCAACGTCTTCAAATCTTTGTTGATTTAGAAAACCTGAAAGAAAGGCAGAGAGCGGCAACAGAATGAGGGAGGAGGAATGCAGTAGGCCTGCGTCCTTGGACGCCACCGTGCTGGGATAAGACTGCCTGAGACTCCGGCTTAGGGCAATGTCGGGGGAGGTGGAAGTCTAGAAACTTTCGATGTTTCCCGAAATTATTTATATATTGTTTTAGAAAATGAAAAATCATTTTAAAAGAACTTATATAAAAATTAAAAAAAAAAACCAGAGATTATTTTACACGTTGTTTCTTCAAAAAGATATAATTCATTATGTTGTGGTATCTACATTTTTATTTATATTCTTTTTCATTTGTCTATGATATCTTATTATTTTCATGGTCTAATAACTTATCTAAATAAATAGAAATTTTTTTTCTATTAAATTTATTACACAGTGAATATTTTTTAACGAATAAAGTTACTTGAATTACTTAAAGATGTCATAAACTTTAAAAATCATTAATTAATAAATGAAAAAATAATAATTAATGATGCTTGAAAAAAATTTATATGAATCGATAATCATTTATTTTTAAAACTTAAATAAATATTTATTAATTTAAATTAATTTTTTATTAATAAATATTTATTTAAATTTTAATAATAAATTATTTTAAATTGATAACAATTTATTTAAATTATTTTTTATTTAAATTTTGATAATAATTAATTTTTAATTGATATAAACTTCTTACAATTCTTTATTTTATTATTATTTTTTCATAATAAATTAATCTTTAATTGTGACAAGATGCAGAATAATTTGAATTTTCAATCGTCCAGAAAAAATAATAATAATTTAGACTTTACATGAGGGGTGATTTATTTAAAATTGACAAATAAATAATTTTTTATAATTTTAAAATTTTATATATAGAGATTTATTCTATACAAATTTTAAAAAAAACAAACATTAGTTTATATTTTAAAATTACAAAAAAAGTAATTGTTAATTGGTTATTTTTATATTTTATGATATTTTATTAAATTTGATTTTATAAAAATAATAAATTATTTAACAAATTTAAAATTTCATAATATTTTTTTGTGTCTATCTTTTTAAAACATTATTTCCCATCTGTCTTATCACGTTATTTTAGTAACTACTTTAAAATAATTAAAATTATACTTTTTGTTTAGATTGTGATATGTTTTAAGTTTAAACAAACATCATCAAAATTTATAAAATATATTTTTTAAAAAAATATAAAACAAATGGATAACAATGTGTTTAAGAGTTTAAAATTGGATAAAAATAAACAATCATTAATAAAATGAAATGAAATGGATTGGGACGAAGTGTAATAAAATAAAATTTTTTAATTTTTTAGTAATTTTATGATGGGAAGGAGCAATTTTATATGACTATTATTTAAAAGTGATTGTAAAATGAATTAAAAAATTTCTCTTCTAATATTACCTGCATGAGTAAACAAAACAATATGAAAAAGAAATAGCAAATAAAAAAAATAGAGTACTTAGAAAACTAAAAAAAATACTTTATCCGTTAAAAAATATAAGATATTTTTTGAGGAGTCAAATATTTAAAAATATAAAATATTTTTAATTTTTTGAGATGTAATTATTATTTTTTTTTCAAAAATACTCCTGCTGATGAATAATTTTATATTTATTGTAAGTTATTTAATAGAAATAAATATAAAAAATTAAGATTAGTTTGAAAGTAAGTAATTATTTTATTGAGGAGTGATATTTAATTAAAATTTTTTTTTATTTTTTAATAAAGTGAATATATATTATATATATATATAAAGAGGGACAACACAGCTGATTGGGAGCTGGAGCCTTTTTTTTTTTTTTTTTTTGGCTGAAGTCGAGAATGGAAGGGTAATTGCCACATATATAGCAATCTGGTGATAAAAGGGCGTCTTGAGGCAATTGTAAAAGCTGAAAAGCAAATTCAAACAAAAGAAAAATAAATATTAAAAAGAAAAAACAATAGCTGCCCGACATTCAACCAGAGGAAAAAATGCAGAAAACTAAGCAAAGAACAACGAAAATAATTAAGTGAGATGTTTTTTTACAGGGTTAGAGTCTAGAGATAATTTTATAAATAAAATAATTATTTTATATCACTTTATTCTTGACCCTCTAATTTGAAGAGCATGAAACATTAGGTGTTGGATAGTAAGTGATAGTTTTAGAGGTCTATTTATTCTTTACCATTTCACTCCTCTTAAAGAAAAAACTTTCAAACAATGGCCTAGGTATTTTAGCTATCCTACTCTATTTTATTCTCTCTTAAAAAAATCTCTCAAACATAACCAAACTCTCTACACATTAAATTATTTTTATAAAAAATTTTATTATTAAAAAGGTTATATTTTCTTTTTATATAACAGGTATGAGTTTTTTTATTTTTACCACATTCTAAATGAACAATCTTAGTGGATGTTTTACAGTGATCTTGATTCAAAATAAGGGGGCAAATTATCCCTTTAGCCCAAAATAGCCAAGTTCAACGAGTCTGAACAGAATACAATAAGTAATTCTCTGCATGCTTGCTTTCAAAACATCAGTTATTTCTTCTTGCTAATCTTATGGTTTCATTTTTTAGCTCAGGATCAGAGTATGCTGTTAAATTTAAAAAGCACAAGATATTTATAAATCATCCACCAATGAAATTTTTACACTAACAATTAAATTTAAACACACAACATTATATATTATGGTTTAAATGCTTTTCGGTTGAACTAACTTTTGCCATTGGTCATGATTTCGTTTCAACTATACTCGCTTTTACACGAGTGTGCCTGGGTCAGAGCCTCCAAGCCCAAAAGAAGACATGCGACAATTTTGCATTTTCATGACAAGGTGTTCGATACTTAATAGGCTTTCGGCTATTCATTATGCTCAAACGAAGCATCACTTTTTACCTAAAAAAACAATCTCACCGAATCTTGAAACCTTGTAAAAAAATTAAGGTTTCAAACATATCGTCCCATCAATACATTACTATCACTATAAGGTCTCCTCATGGGGGTCTGGATTAATTTAAGGCTGATAATGAACTCCAAATACCGGATGGTTTATATTAGAAAATAATTAAGCAAAATTAACTATAACAAAAAAAAAATTCAATCATTGGTAGATAGGAAAATCCTCTGCGAAGCCAGTCATAGAAAGAAGATATGGCTAAATTATAGTGGTGGATAGTATTCCATGTGTGCTGTGAATGGACAAATTATACCTACAATTAATGGCCGTTCCTATCAAATTAATAAAGAAATAAGCATGCATTTATTTGCAGTTAAAGATCTCAACCACGTACGTTCCACCGTTAAGCAAATGATTGGCTTGGCTTGTCATTTTATCACGCACGTCAATCATTGCACATGCATCCAATATTCCCTTCATCACCAACTAGTTTGGACTGTCAAATTCAACTGACTATGTAAACAAAAACAAATTGTGATCTCTGGAGTGGGAACGTGCTTGATTTCAGCCGAACGTGAAAAGTAGAAGTATGAAGTAATCATTTTTACGCGTGTGAAGGAACATTAGAACCAGATTCTTTTATATAGCCATATCTTTGACTCCTTCTCCGCAACACCTTACCGAGATTTAGTTTCCTTTCTTCTCTTTCACTTGGACCTCAATGCCGGAAATGGGTTTTCATTGTTTTGCTGAGAGACGCGTGAGGCGTGGCTATGACAGGCTAAACAGTCCTGATCAGAAGATGCCAAGGTCCACAACCACGAGGCGCTGGAGCAAGTCTTTGAAGGGAAGATTAAGAGGCGTTCGGCTGTTCAAGTCTAAGAAGGTTTCTGTGAAGGCCATTTCTGCAGTTTTGATGTCAAGCAGAATTGTGAGAATGTACACAGACATTGTGAACCGATTGAACCTGGAAAGCGTACATCCCGCCATCGTATTCCCAACCCAATGGGGTCTTCCTGTTTTATCTCATCCCTCTGTAACTTGCAGAAAGAGTGCCATCCCTGTAAGCAGAAAAGTGACCTGCTATTACTAGCATTATATTCTTTTGCTCTTTTCTTTTCCACATGTAAACTTCTTGTTAGGATGTCAAGTGTTTCGTGGACTGTATTCTTTCTCCCCTCGCTTATTGTAGCCATTCCCTAAAGCTTCTCTGCCACATTGAGCTGTGCTATCACTTGCTGTCGTGGTTCTAGCTTTAAGAAGAGATGTAATAGCCTACATTGCTGCCTTAAATTTCAAACTTCAAATGAGTGAAAAGATTATTGCTTCATTTTAATTGAATCTTGACTCGTGATTTGAATGAATAAACAAGGATCTTCAATATACAGTAAAAATCAAGGAAAAGTTGAGATTATCGTTGATAACTTGATTGCTATGATTTCATCATTTTCTGAATGCAAATCATTAAATAGTGACGTGGAGTATAACTTTGATTCTTGTTCTGTTAGCAGCGCGGTGAATTCATTATTTCTGAGTGAGAAAAAGGAGCTGGGATGAGATCATATGTTGTTAAATGCTTGTGGAGATTTACATTGCAGGTAAGAAACAACAAACTGCGAGTAAACTAGTTTAGGATTGCAGAACAAGTTACATCACAAACTGAAACTGGCTCAAAGACTATGCACGACCTTAACGGGGGCTACCTTAGAGAGAATTCGGTATTGAAGAAAACCACTGAAGGTGCCTTTAGAGGCAAACCCAGTAATGATCAGGACATAAGTATGCTTGAGATCGACATGAGGTACAACTAAACAGCCTCCTCTTTTATCTCTTGCTTGAGCATTCTGTTTCCTGAGAATCTTATCCATCCACTTATATCTCGGTGGTTTTAGGTTCTTTTCACAAAATTCTGGCTCCTCCTTTATAGTAGAAAGCTTGGTCCTCAGTATCCCCCCATATCTCTGGTTGAATCAGATGGCAGACCTTTCCTTCTCGTGTAAGGCACAGAACCTAAAATTTTCCCACATGCCTTCCTCATTTGTTCTCTTCTTGTGGAAGCTACTCTATTATCATATGCACATTAAAACAACTAGGCCTTATTGACCTTCTTCCTGTTGTGACATGTGCAAGGCACGATCTCTTTAAATGCTGAAAATGGAGGAAGAGGGCGTAGGATCCAGGAAATTGCTTTGGTTCGGAGCTTTGGAGTAGTTGGACAGCTATCAGCTTTTTTAGAAAGGGACCGCAAAAAAGCAGTTCGTGGGCAATCCTTTACAGCGACGCTTCAATTACGAGTTAAGTTATAGTAAGTGCCAACAAAGCCAGCATTCATTACAAGTCTTGCATGGGATTAAAGCCCTGTTTCTTGTACGCTTTCTCGTAGTGTGCGTAACAAATCATGATTAGTTTCCCTTTTTTTATGTCCATGACTTCATGTTCGATGTTCCGATCACAAATTAGCAAAATACAAATTCATGAATTGTACTGGATAGTAAATTCGCAGGGTGCCTGGTTGTCGTTTTCCTTCGAACCTGTCTATCAGCGACGCAGGACAAAAGAGGTCTACTTGCTTCGACATCCCATCAGATTGGGTTACTTGTGTAGTTGTGTTCCATTTAACTCGTTGCTGCAGATTCAAATGTTGATTCACCATTCAGATAAACGATGGGGAATATGGTTGCAAAATTAAATTAAATTGAACCACCTCCCTGGAAGTGGAAACAAGCCGTCTTCTCAGTTCGCCCCTTCTCTCGTATAGTTTGGGACTCCGGGTGTGGAAAGACTTCATAAATCGCGTGCTTCTTCATTTTGAATGACACTGGCGCTATAATTCCAAGGCAAAAGAAATTGTAACATTTCCCGGCATCCTGTGGCTCTTTGAAAATTTCCTACACCCAACCTTTTTTTTTTTTTTTTTTCAAATGTTGATTTATCGTGGTATAAGGTTTTGTGACTAGCATAGATACTCATCCCAAAAAATTAACATATTATGTGAAAGAGTCCTTTAACTTATAAATCTCACACCATTTGTGAAGTTTTTCAATGTAAAACTTGTGACGGGTTCATATACGCAACTCGGTGTTTGTGCTTTTTGTGAGATCAATCCTTGGGTGATCTCCAGTTAAGCCTGGACGTAAGTTACCTTTTGCAACTTGGTATTAACCAACTTAAGCACTAGGTTGGGTTTCAGCTTTGTTCACTGGTGAACTGAATCATCTTTGAAAAATATCGGCATCTGATGTCTTTCATTATATAATTATTACGATTTTTTAAAGATGTCATTAATTAGATGTGCAACTAATGCCTAACGAAGAGAATATAAAGAAAATGGATCAGGCTCATTTGTTTCTTTTTATAATATATTTTGTTCGAAATTTTAATGGTTTATAAAATACCATATGTCCGGGTAAAAAATAAAATAAAATAAAATACCATATGTATGTATTCCTGTTCAATTATTTCTCCTTAATCCCTAATAATTGATTTTATCCTTGATTTTTTTTTCTTGTCGACCTCTTAATTTTCGGAAGCAAGTTAAAAAAAAAAAATCTAGACGTGACTAATTTTATTAGCCTCCCAAATTTTGACAACAAGGTATTATATTTATGAACGAATGAATTAAGTTGCAGAGAGGGAGCCTTTTTCGTTTGATGATGAGGGGAGCGTCATTTTTCCGGACAAAAACCTGAATTATGTTGTCCCCTTTTTCATATATAAGTAAATTTCAGTCAACTAACTATTTAAGAAAATGAGTTAATTTTAATATCTAACGGTTAGTTTCAAACTAAGACCTCCTTGTAATTAACTAACTACGTGAAATTTTACGTAAAAAAACAAGGAGGAATCAAGATGAAATAAATTGCGTTTTTCCGTGGCATATACGTTGCCGTTGTTGATTGCTGCAATGATAGATGACTTTATGGATATATGTTAGCCAGGGTCAGATCGAGTAATGTCCAAGAGTTCGCAGATATAGCTGCTAAAGCTTATTCCTTTCACATGCCAGTACCCAACCTCTCCACGATAACTCACCAGCTTCTTCCAGAAACTTTGCTTGCTTCCTATCATCAATTACGGATAAACTCATGAGCTGTACATACAAAACATGAGTATCTTTCACAACGCCATCCATCAATTCATTTTTAATACGTACATAGCAGCTTATTTAAACTGCTTTAATACAGGAGAGATCAAATTAAAGCTAAAGATTATTTCTGCGGCAGGGGCCGCGTATTGTGAGGATCTTGTCTTTTGCACGCATTCCATTTCTTAACCACGTTTCGATGTCAACGTTTCAAAGATTGACTTCAAGTTCAAGCCAGTATTTCCTGTTAAGCAAGTTAACAATAATTAAAGAAGTGTGTGCATTTTTTTTTATGGCGTGGACCTGCCTGTGTGATGGAAGATGCGTTTTTTAAAGGCGTTTCGTGTTAGATTGCGTAGATTGCCAAGGGAAAAAACAATTGACCAGTGATTCATAGCTGACCAAGATTAATTTAATCTATTAAATAAACTTCACATCTTACTACGGGATGCTACTTTGAGTTGCAGAAAGAAGCACGCATTCTTAAATAATTAAATGAATTTAAGCTCTGCCTAGTGGGTAAAAAAGTAGTCGGAGATGAGTGCTGAGTCAGTGATAGCAATTACTCATTCCATTTTAAATTATAAAATATTTTTAAAAAATATTTAATATTTTAAAATATAAGAGACTTTAATAAAAATAACGTTTCTTTAATAATAATTTTTTAATATTATTATTTTTATATATTTTCTCTCTTCAATATTTTTTATCAATGAAATATTAAATGAAGAATATTTTTAAAAGTTTATATTTTTATTTTGAAAAAATAATAAAGTGTATTTAATAAACTTTATTGATATGTAATATTTTGTTTAAAAAATTTTTATAATTTGGGATGGAGGAGTAGATTGCTAGGGATTAGTAATTAAGTAATCAAGTTAGATTTTTTTAAAAACAACAGAAAAAAAAAAGAGAGAAAGCAATCCCTATAAATTTATCATATTTTATTTTTAAATTTTTAAATTTGTTTAATATTTTTAATTTTTATAATTTTAAAAAGATTGAGTGATATTTATTTTTTAAATTATGAAAAAATATAATTTTTTAAAATTTAAAATAAATAGATTATGGGTTTAAAAATTTTAAAACAAAAGATTATGGTTTACCTAATCACACACATGAGTAGAAACAAAGCACTGCTACTATTCACAATAGTACACATTAGTAGGCCAAGGAAGGAAAAGTGTTAAAGCTTATAAGTGCCGGCGTTTTCCTATCGTATTCATTCAATGCATAGGGAAAAGATAGTCTTTGTTCTTGTTTTCAAAACGTTGAAATGGAGTGAGATTTTTATTTTATTTTTACCTTTTCGGGCTTCGTTCCCACCCATGAGAATCCCAACCTTTGACTCGTAAAATCGTTTTAAGTTCCATGACTATTAACACGCCGCCCCCAAGAAGACCTCTCTTTTTGCAGTTTGAATACATGAAAATCACCACTTGGTACTATGTCCACAGAAAATGGCTCTATTCACTAGTAGTACACAACAACTTGGGATTTTTAACGATGAATCTTCCTGTTCTCTACAGTTCTCCCCTCCGGAACATCGTTTCTCAGTGATTCAGATGAAGCTAATCAACCCGAGAAAAGGGGTCAAGATTGATATGGGATCCAAGTACTGCATTGATCCTGACCTCATCCCGACGCCGGAGAAAAGGCCAGATCAGAGAGAAAAGAATACGCGAACAAGGAAATAATTAAAAGAACCAAACAAATAATAATAATAATAATAATAATAATAATAATAACATAACTAGTCCGTTTACGACCGATGAACAACAGTTTATCAAGATTGGGATCTGATCAATAGCGAATCAATGTACACGCGAAAGAAAAAGTACTAGTAATTATGAGAGAGGAAGTGTTAAACTCTAATGAGTACAGGTCTAGCTACCAGAAGCAGGAAGAGTCGTTTCTGCGGTTCTGGGCATGAAGGAGGCGGAAGAACCTTCTCCTCCGGTAATAGAAACTGCACTTGAGCCTTAAACACACCAACCGTCTGAGTCTAAGAGCAGATCGAAGCTTGAGCCACACGACTTTCTTGGCACGCACGAACGACCTCTTGATTCTCTCTGGAATACTCTGCTTTCGAGAGAACTGATAGCTTCTCAGGAAGAGCTGCCTCTTTTCCGCTAGTGTATAATAATAGTTGTGGTGCAGCTCAGGGTAATAATATCCAAAAGACTCGCTTCTGAATATCGGGTTCGCACCCATCGCTTCTTGATTCTTACTGTTACTGTTCTTTAGCAGAATCATGGTGGCACCACCCAGAGACGGAAACGGTGCCTGGGAAGAAAAATGTATACAGCAGAAAGAAATAGAGAATTACGAGGTCCTTGTTAGAGTACAGGAGGAGGAGGCGGAGGCATTAAATAGAGGAGGAAGCGAGGGTTGCTTGGGAAGATAAACTTGGGGAAGAGAACGGATCGGGGGATGAACTATCAAGTGTAAAATTTCCAAGCACCTGAATTTGCGTTGCTTTGCTTTGTTTGCACTTTGCGCCGTGCGCCGCCGCAGAAACTGAAGGCGACGACATTCCCTTCTTCCCCTTCTTCTCTTATAAATTGTTGTACTTGGGCGTTATTTTAGGACTCTCGCGCGTGGATGGTCAGATAAGTACTTTTACGTATTTGGTTTTTTGGTCAGAAATTCATGCTCGGATTTGTCGACAGAATTCAGACTAGTATGATTTTTTAGCTGTTGGCGTAGGAAAATGCGCGCTGTAATTTTAATATTTCATATTAATTTATTCTATGAAACTATTTTATGTTTTTATCAATCAATGGCTTGAAATTTCAGGAGAAAGATATGTTTAAAAATTTACTCCTTTTATTAAAAAATATAAAAAAATTAAATATTTAAAAATATAAAATATTTTTAATTTTTTAAGTTATAATTATTATTTTTTTTAAAGTGTCCTATTGAAAATTAACTTTATATTTATTATAGTGTGTTTAATAAAAATAAATATAAAAAAATAATATTAATTTAAAAATAATTAATTACTTTTTAAAGTGAGATTTAATTAAAAATATTTATATTTTTTAATAGATGGAGTTAAATTTAGGAGAGTGTTAAAGATTTTACTGCTAGATTTAAAAAAGTACATAGAATTAGGTTTCTTTATATTAAATTTAATAATAATTAAATATTTTTCGTAGAGGCTATGCTTTCAAGATAATTGTAATTTTTTTCATATTTTCAATTAAAAATGTTTAAATTTTAGGTCTTATATGTGACTTTTTTCTAAGATTTTAATTTGTAATATTTGAGGATTAAAAATAATCAGTAAGCGAGGATGAAAGCTTCACAATATATATATATATATATGTATGTATGTATGTATGAATGTATATGTGGATTCATTTTTATATTTCATTTCATAATTTATTTTAGGACAAATCAAATTCATTTTATTTCTTGAAAAACGCATCATAAATGACGTCAGTTTTCTTTCTGGTTAACCGAGGCGGAACACGAGATTGTTTGAAATTATTTTTATTTTTTTATTTTAAAAATTAATATTTTATAAAACACGTTTTAAAAATAAAAATAAAAAAAATATATTTTTTATTCTCTCTTATTTTTTAAAAAAATAATTACAAAACATCTAAAATTTATTTTTATTTTTTTATTCTTTAAAATAATATTTTATTTTTTTATCAAAATACTTTTTAAAAATATATTACTGAATAAATTTTTTTATTCTCTTATTTTAAAAAGTAAAAAATTATTTTTAAAATAAATTTTTAAACAGACCCACACTTGTTTCCACTGGGACTGCTGAAGGGTTATTATTATTATTTTTTTTTACATTTTTTGATAAAAGGGACTGCTCAAGGATTATTTGATAAGGGTGAATATTAAATCAGGGCCGTCCTCATCTCGCAGGTCCTGAGGCCCCGACACTGTGGGGGGCAAAAGGTATGTCAAACATGGCCTGCAACGTGCACCAATAAATGGTTAGTTACACGGGCACTCAATGACAGCGTCATTTAACAAAATCCAATAAATGGCAACAGTATACAACATGCTTGATGACGACCATGAGAATGACTCATGAGATAAACACAAAAATTAATCAATTATATATTAAGGGTTTTTGTGTACTGCAAGTATCGAACAAGTTAAGCTTCATAAGCAATTGTGGATGAGGAGGAAGTTGTGTGGAACTTGTTCAAAGAGTTAGATAAGCAGCTTGAACCCAGCTTTTTCAGGATTCTTCAGTTTCTTACCCATCAAGATATGTGATTTCTCGGACTGGTGCATCCAACTCTTAAGTGCAAAGTATAAAATTCATGCTTGGGTCTGAATTTTTTGGTCTTTCTTCCGAATTCAGAAAGCACCCTTTCGTTTGGCTAATTAATCTAGTACGCTGCATGCCTCACCAGATGTAGACTAAGACGGAGAAATCAGAAAACAAATCCTCTCAATGTGGAAATAGATTATAACGTGTACTATGAAGACAATAAAATAATAGGATGTACCAAATCTTGGTGGAAATGGCTGTGGTCACTTAAGTGTAAGGTCATGATTTCTTGTACGTGTGAATACAAAAAATATCTTTTTAAAAAGGCTATTTTAATTAGATTTAGCAATACTTAAATCTGATCTAGTCATATAATTGTGTGTATGTGCAAGAATAATAGGACGTCAGTCACTTCATAGATCAAATTATAATGTGCAACAGAAATAGCCATTGACTGCTTCGCATTTGTTAGCTGCATCGTGAAATACGGCTCCAGAGTCCAAATTAACCCCTTTTTCTTTTTAAACTTTATCTGCAAGGAAGCGCCAAAACCTCCTCCGCAGGTAGAGACCGACGGTAATTCTAACGTCATTTATTCAATCATGTATTTAAAATTACTCTTCACTCAAACAAATGCTGCAACAAAAGAAATACAAACTAAATGTGAGTATTCGTTATTTAATATATAAATGTGACATTACACAAATGATATTGCCTAAGCTGCCCTGCATGACAAATTTCACATGCTTCCTTCCTTTCTTTTTTTTTAATAAAAGAAGGGGGTGGACGCTTGTACATCGAATTGGATCGGACTTCACATATGTAAGAAATAAAAGTGCCTTTTAAAAAAAAAAATTCACATGAGAAATATCCTTCGTCAAGTGTGTGCGTGCGTGTGAGTAAAAACTAAAAACAGTCTGATAGTTAAAAAAAAATAACTATTATTCATGTTTGATATTTTACAATTATCTTGAATCATTTTGATATGTTTCTATTGAGGTACGGAAAACTGAATCAATCATTAAACCGACTAAGGTTAGGGGTCAAGAGTTTAAGGGTCCAACTTAGAGCGGTCATAATAATATAATACAATTAAAATAAAAACACGTTATTCAAGACTTAATATCTCATACAATAAAATAAGATTAAAAAATATAAGGTAATGTTTAGAATGATAGATTTGAATTTTAATTTTATATTTAAAATCTTGCATTTTAAATATCACATTTAAAATTTATGTATTTAAAATCTTTTATTTAAATAGTTTAAAAAAATTAAATGAAAAAGAGAGAAAAACTAAGATTCAAAATGAAAAATTAAAAATTTAAAATGATAAATTTATTTTTATTTTTTAATCAATAAAAGATACGAGAATCATATGAATATCAACAATAAAAATGTAAAGAAAACAAGACATTTGAAATGAAATTATACAGGAATTATAATTTAAAATAGATTTGAATTTGAGTCAAATTTAAATTCATAAATTTTTGCATTTCCGAATGAAGGATTTAATTTAAATTCAAATTCAAATTCTTATTAATCCAAACACACCATAAAAAAAATTTACAGATTTAAAAAATAACAAAAAAATACATGTTCAATTATTAAGAAGTTGAAACGTGAAACGCGTGTGGGGAAGTAGAGTGATGTATCTTACTCAGTTACTCCTCGTCTTTTGATTGACCGTGGTTTTTAAAATAATAAAAGAATGCCTTATTGACTTGTAACTCTTCTCTCATTTCTTCCGCCAGTGTGGTTATTCTTTCATCATCTTTCATTTCAAATCCGGCTCCATCCATAGGACTTGCTCTAGCATTGGACCGTGGAAGGCAAGCTCCAGCATTGAGAAGCACGATGACACCAGCAAATGGACTGAAGTGAGAAAAGAGAACCAGATTCTGAGGCGACAAGAGCAACCACGAACGAGGATGACAACCCACAGACGAGGGAGCAGCACACTGCTTAAGATGATGACAAAGACTGACCCATGGCAAGCTATGAACAGGAAGATGAAGAAAGGAGTAGCCACGCATAGGATAAGGCATCCTGAGCCAAAACAGTGCCATTTCAGGGAGTTGAGGAAAAATAATCGGCCCGCTCAACCTATATGACGCATAGGGTTGAGCGGATCAATCCATGTTTTTCCCTGATCACCCAGGCTGACTGCTCCACTGGAGAAAAAAACAATGAACCAGACCAAACACGCGTCCAGTTCACCAGTTAAACCGGCCAATCCGGTCTGATTTCACATACCATGGTTTCCACTTACCAAGCACGCATGAGACAGTGCAAATAACCGAACCGTATCTTTTTCCCACGCAACCAGCCAAACGAAGCCAGACTCAAAAGTACTGCCTCAATTGGCCAATTCACGGAAGAGCCTGTCATTCAACATACTATATCTATATATGCCAACGTCCTTTCGTCCCGGCATGTCTAATTTGAAATTCAACAGGAATCAGGAACCCTCAATGTGGATGCAAAAAGATTCAATCAATCAACAAACAATCAAATAATCCTTATTGACTTGCTCTGTTCCTGATATCATGTTTAAAGCAAGATAAAGTTGAGTATCTACAATTTGCACACAGGACAAATTAACTAGTTACATTGTAAAGCTCAAAATCAGGGACATTTACTTGAGCGAGGCCGACTGAGGGCTATCAACTCAATGTACACCAATATAAATGTTGACGTGTGATTTGCTCACATGTATTACCAGAATGCAAAATTAAAATAAAATACAACTCGGCTCATATTTCTTTTCTCCCTATACAAAAGCAATGATTAGAAAACCACCCAATCTTCTCTTCTATATCTACTTACAACATTTTTCCCGACCAAGCGAGCTCTGAATCTACCCCCCGAGTCACTTAGTGCCAGCTTTATCGGCTGCAGGAACCTTTGCAGGGTAACTGGATTCATCCAAATCAATTAGTGTCATGTCATACGGCGTAGGTGTAGAATTTGAAATATCCACAAGCAAGGAAGATTTCATTGTATCAGATACTCGTCCAGAATACGAGGAAGCGCTAGTATTGGAAGAAGAAAGATTTGAGAGCTGTACATCCTCGATCTTGTTTCCGAACATATGCTTATTTCTTCTCACAGTGTCCATCTCTGGGCCAATTGGAACAAAAGTCCGTGACCTATACTTTCTTGTTCCCTCTTCACCTTCACCATGGTTATATAGAACATAATCATGATAAGTCGGTGCAAACTGCCAAAAGTCCAAGTAGTATCAGCGCATCAAGGCAAACAAATTAAGGGACAAATACTTCCAACTGAAATGCTGCTAAGCTAGGCGTTTAGCCTGATGCACAATCATAGTTAGCTATGTCAAAACCCAAGCACAGATATAAAAAAAGGACTCACCTGGTGTACTGTGTCATGGTAAAAGTCATTTATCATTAGCGCATGTGCAATGCTAGCTGTCAGCCCACGGGATTCACCTATATTAGCACCTGCATATTCTTTGTATGGGAATGCATAAAAATGCCCCACAGCAGCGACAAGCATTTCAACACAAATGATAAAATTTTGGAGTTGAGCAGCTTCATCTGCATTCTCAATGAATCCCGACTTGGCAGCAAGAAAAAACAAAACACCCTAATATGTGAACAAAAAAGGTTCAGCCTGCTTCAAACCTCAAGTAAAAACAGTAGAATTTCCAAGCAACGCTGCATTGACAGAGTCCCATCTTGAAGTTCTAATATAGAATGAACAGGATAGCAACATATGCACAGTCCCCACAAGTTATACAGATGAAGCTATAAATAAATTTTTAACAGCGACCTAGAATAAGCCTTATGCGTTTTATTTTATAGTTTCATTATCACTATAAATTCCTTCATTCAGTCTTGGTCTTCTTGGATGTGCCATAAATAGTGGAACTTAAAATGTTTTGACACACAACATCAAATGAGTCATCCTTTTTTTGCTCAGGATCAGCAGAGAGATAGAGTTAAGGATTTTCTTAAAACAAAGGCACCAGGAAAAAAACGGGTCTATAAAAAATTACCTGCCAGTAAGTCAGAAATACAACAGATTTTATGATGATAAACTTTGGGACTGGATTGAATGGCTTAAGCAGATCCTTGCAGGCCACATAAAACAAAACAAGAGCGTAGAGAGCCATTGTGTATGAGATTGTATATATAATTGTGAGGTACAGGTACGATTGCTTTGGGCTGAAATTTCCATCTTTGTATTTCCCCTTTGCATAAAGTACAAGTGTGATGGCAGCTAAGAGTGGCTTCAAAAACACAAACTGCAAACATCCTTGCTTGCATTTCCTTATAAAACGGCTGCAATGACAATTCCAGAAATGACAGATGATCAATAAATATGATGTCATAACCATGCCCGCCTTGTCACAATATTGATATCTGTGTTGGATAATCTCATTAACTCTCTGGAATGTATAGGTTTACATTTTCTAAAAAGCTTATATATATATATATAGATAGATGTGTGCCACATCAACCTAACAAATTACATAAAACAAGATCTTCTCCAGGTAGAATTTGCGAGAGCAATGTTCAAGAAATTAACAAAAAATAATTTTAAACGTACAAGCTTTCAAAAGAAAAATCAGGTCTGTGGAAACCCACCCATCCAGCGGTAGAGGAGGTAAGCAACAAGTCATCAGATACCATGATGGCTTCAGAATCCGGCCACTCAAACTTAGGACCACTGCTCCAGGACCACCAACCCATTCCAGACACAAAGTCAAGAAATTATAAATTACCCAAGCTTCGTAGCTGAAAACAGAAGAACGTAATGAGTGAGCAGAAACTGCACCTAGAATTTGAAGGCATTTTACAACTACAATTTCAGAACAAAAACTATTAGAAATGAAAATTAAAGTTTGCACGGATCTTAGATTAGAGACAAGCTGATGGAGATTTTGGACGAGGAGAGATGACGCTGAATAGGGATAAAATGCAGTGTTTTTTCACTTTTTCCAAATATATGCGTGCATTTCAGGTGCATCAGTACTCAATTTGACTACCCCAATCACCTAATAATTAGAAGAATATTAGTTTTCTCAGAAAAGGATTGTTTGGAGGAAATTATGCAACAAAGAAAAAACCTACACAACCCCCCAACAGGTCCAGATTACCTCAGAAAAACCAATGGACTAACAAGACCGTGACTAAACTCTAGTCCAAGATTTTGGGACACTACCTTGAGTGTAATATCAACAACAACAACAAGCCTTATCCCACTAGATAGGATCGGCTGCATAGATTATATGACGCCATTATGCTCTATCATTTATTAAGTTTTTAGAAATATTATTAATTAAAAAGTCTCGCTCAACAACCTCCAAAAGTGTTCTCTTCGATCTTCCTCTACCTTTTTTGATAGGGCTCAAAGTCATATATTCCACTCTCCTTACAGGTGCCTCCCATGATCTTATTTTCTATCATTTTCTATCGTTTTCTATCATTTGAGACAAGTATTTCTGAGAATCAATTTGGAAGACAAGTATTTTTGAGAATCAATTTGGTTTTATGCCAGGTAGATCAACTACAGAGGCGATTTATCTACTAAGGGGATTAATGGAAAAGTATCGTTGTAAAGATAAAGATCTACACATGGTTTTTATTGATTTGAAAAAAGCTTATGACCGTAAACCAAGAGAAGTGCTTTGAAAAGCGTTGGAAAAAAAGGGAGTACGGATTGCTTATATTAAAGTCATACAAGATATGTATGAGGGGGTAAAAACTAGTATAAGAACACCTAGTGGTCAAACAAAGAATTTTCCTATAAAGATTGGACTACATCAGGGATCATCTCTGAGTCCTTATTTGTTCAACTTGATTTTAAATGTTTTGACGGAACATATTCAAGAGGAAATCCCGAAATGTATGCTCTTCATGGATGATATAGTTCTTATAGCAGAGACAAGAGAAGAGGTTAATTGTAAACTTGAGTTATGGAGGAGGACATTGGAGTCGAAAGGTTTTCGTCTGAGTAGAAGTAAGACAGAATATTTATATTGTAAATTTAGTAAAGGAATATTCGACAATAATTTGGAAGTGAAATTGGGAGATCAAATTATACCTCAAGTGGAAAAGTTTAGATATTTGGGAGCCATTATTCAACATGATGGCGAAATCAGTGGAGATATTTCACATAGAATTCAAGCTGGGTGGTTTAATTGGAGAAAAGCTAAAGGAGTTATTTGTGACCGTAAGGTGTCTAATAAACTTAAAGGAAAGTTTTATCGCACTGCTATCAGACCAGCAATGTTATATAATAGTGAATGCTGGGCTCTAACGGGACAGCAAGAACATAAAGTTGGAGTAGCAGAGATGAGAATGTTACGATGGATGTGCGGACATACACGTAAAGATAAAATTCGAAATGAGCACGTACGCGAAAAGGTGAGGGTGGCACCTATCGAGAAAAAAATGGTAGAAAATCGGTTGAGATGATTTGGGCATGTACAAAGAAGACCAAGGGAGGCACCAGTGAGAAGAGTGGAACATATAACTTTGAGTCCGATTAAGAGAGGTAGAAGAAGGCCTAAGAGAACACTCTTGGAAGTTGTTGAACGCGATCTCTTAATTAATAATATTCCTAAAAGCTTGATAAATGATAGAGCACAATGACGTCTTGCGATCCATGTAGCCGACCCCATCTAGTGAGATAAAGGCTTGTTGTTGTTGTTGTTGTTGTTGTCTCTTCAACAGGTGCCACACCCACTTTTTTCCGGATTCACTTATTTTGAATTTTGTCTTTTAGTGTATATCCACACATCCATCTTAACAATATTATCTCTGCTACTCCAACTTTATGCTTTTACTGTCTCGTCAAAGCCCATCATTCACTACCATGTAAAATTACTGGTCTCATAACAATTTGATAAAACTTTCCTTTAAACTTATCAGGTACCTTACGAGCACAAATAACTCCTTTAACCTTCCTGCAATTAAACCACCCCGCTTGTATCCTATGAGTAATATCTCCATCAATGTCTCCATTTTGTTGAATAATCGTTTCTAAATATCTAAACTTTTCCGCTTGAGGTATGGTCTGATCACTCAATTTCATTTTCAAATTACTATTCACTAACCCTTTATCAAAATTACAATGTAAATATTATGTTTTACTCCTACTCAGGTAAAAATCATTTGACTCCAATATCTTCCTCCATAATTCAAGTTTACAATTTATCTCTTCTCAAGTTTACAATTTATCCAAACCTGGAGTGTAATATCAAACCAATAAATTCAATGTAGCGACTAAAAATGGATGTCTGGATAATATGACGCCAACAACAGCTTCTGAGTCATAGTTGCTCCATGATTTATGTAGACTAATAGTATAAAAGTTGTGTAACCATTCAATTTAACTGTCACCATATATACAAGTCACTCCCAGGTCAAACAAACAAGAACAGAGAAGTAAACGTTCCATCCGCATAACTATAATCATACAACGAAGTATTCAGATATAATTATAGAATACAGATGCAAAGTATAAAGAAATATAGATGAACTTACACTTCCCGAACAGAATTAAAATAGATTGAACTGTCAGGTAGAACAAGGCACAAGAACGACATTAATGCATAAACCTGTCATGGAAAAACAAAATTAGACACGTCAAAATTGAATGAAAAAGACATGTCGCAAAATTCCAGGCAATGTAGCCCCACGGTAATTTTTTTACTGGGCAGTGAGATATGAAAGAAGGAAGTGGATGAGAAGGAGCAATAAACCAAATAAAAGTACCATTGGGAAGCACAAGCACAAGCACAATGCATGCAATAGAAAAGTAATTGTGTTGATTTTAGCATAAAAAGAAAAGATATTGTGCTGAGAAAAGAAATCTGAAAACTACCATCTTCACGCATGACCAAATTTAATGCTCAAGTGAATATAGCTTTCGGTCAGAGAGCTTCAAAAGTGTCCACTTCTGTGTCCTATATAATGGATGACGAACAGGATAAACCCTTGTTCAGGGCTCTAGAAATTCCAGTGAAGGAAACTTGCCCTCCACAGAATTAAGATTATGAATAATGATAATGTTAATGATCAGAGGCAGAGAAATTATTGCCATGGAACCACTCACCGGGACCATAAAAATTATACGAACAATGAAGCGCTGATAAGTAGGTTCCGTGTAATTGAGGAGGTGCTTGTAAATGTGCAAAACGGCCAGAGCAATAGCTCCGCTAGTGCATAAAAAAGCGACGATGCTATAGTAAATTGGAACCAGTTCCCCCATCTTCTAAGAGCAATTAGCAAGTTGTTAACACCACATTTACAGATTCAAACGCAAATTCAGAGCAGGATGACGAGAAACGCCTCGGGAGAAAGTGAAACCCTAAAACCCGATTGGAGATCGATACCCCAAAACCAGAACAAGGAAAGAGAAGGGAAACCACTCAGATCTGTGGATCGTAAGGAAACGTTCGGTGCAGCGAAGCGAATAATGCCAGAAATAGGGAGGAAAACGCTTTACTGGCACCAATAATGGCGGCTGTTGGCCTTGCTGTGTAGGAAATGTGGACTTCTGCCTGATAGGTTATTCCTTCTAGTAAACGAACTAGCCTCATCGGGGCTGGAAAATTCGTAAATTGCATTGCATTGTCATCCCACGTCTCACTTTCAAAGGTGTTTTAAAATTGGGGTAATTTGGTGATTCCATTTTTTTTTGTTTTTTAAAATAAAAAAATTAAAAGTTTATTTAGATAAATATTTTGAAATTAATTTTTTAAATATTTTTTATTTATAAATTTTTAAAAATAAAAAATGGTAACATTTTAAAATTATTTTTATTTTATTTTCACTTTCAAAGTACATTAAATTTGATTATTAAAAATTACAATCATCTTGATTAATGATTATTATAAATCATGACTATTAAACACTAATTATTATTATCAGTTAATTTTTAAATTTAAAATTGTTTTCAAATTAACACAATGAAATAGACTTTTTTTATTGTGTAAATAATTTTAAAAATTATATTGCAAAACAGTTTTTAAAAATAAAAAATAAAACAAAAACCGAACATATCTTTTATTTTTGTTTTTGTTTTTTATTTTCAGTATTTACTTACACATTAAAAAAATTACTTTTAAACCTCCAATTTCAATCTTAACTTGTGCGCGTACATACGTACGCACTGTGCAAAATTTTCATAAATAACCCATTCAGCCTCAAGAATGATACTTGTTAGAATTTTCGCATGATATAGGTCCATGCGCGTGTGTATGCCTAAAACACCACGAGAGGGGATTCATTCTTTTCTACAAAGTAAAATAAACATTGATGTCAAAAATAAAGTTAAGCGAGATCTCTATCATGCTTATTTATGCGAAAGAAATGATAGTTTTGTTTCTTATAAATAAGCTCAGAGCAGTATTTACTTGGCATATTTAGCATCATAATGAGTCTGGTCGCATTTGGGGTTGGCAATGCAGTTAGTAAAAGTTAAGCAAGATCTCTTCACCTTTTTTTGTTAAAAATCTCTTTAGCTTTATAATCAATCATATCTAAAGTTGTATTTGGACGAGGGAATTTAAGTTAAAAATTTAAATTTAAATCTCACATTTAAAATTTATAAATTTTAAATTATTTATTTGGATAGTATAAAAAATTTTAAATTATAATATTAAAATACTTTATTTAGATGTAAAGTAAGATTTTAAATTTTAAATTATATATTTCAATTTAAAAGAAACTTGGACGATGTCGGCAGTTTGTTCCTAGTCAAAGTCAACAATTCGAATAGCTAATTTTCATTGGGACCAAACTGTCAATGTCGACTGGGACTATAACACAGGCGACAAATAAGACTGAATGACCGACTTTCACTAGGACTGAATCGACGACAATTGGGACCAAACAATTGACTTCAACTAAAATACAAATTAATTCTTGGCACAAGAAACAAACAATAGAAAAGACAAAAATACACAAAAAGAACAAACATAAACAAGAATACAAGAAAACAAGTAACAAGAAGAAATACAAACACAAAAAATAATATTTACAACACTCAAGAAAAATTTACTATCATTGGTTTAAGGCTGACCAAAAGATCTTCAATGTCAAATCCTCAACAATAGCACAAAAAACTTGTTGCATTCTGCAAGTACACTGATCATAGCAAGTGTCAAGTAATATAATGAGAATAAATTATCATCCCTGTGAACGTTTGTTTAAAAACAAATATCAAACAAAAGGCTAAGTGAATTTAATCAAGTTGAGCCAAAACATAATTAAATGAAGATAATTTTGCAAGCTACATTAATACTAGAAAATAAAGAAAAGCAATTAATTCACAAACTTTAAATACAGAATAGAATTTAGGATTATTTATCCTCCTTATGTCTCATAGCACCAAAATTACCTCATTTTATAAATACTTGGACAAGTTCTTTTAAGTTATGAAGAAGTGTTTAGTTAAATCAACTATCCAATGTTTTGTTACAATTAATAAAATTCAATTTTAAACACTAATCTTAACGTGGCTATGTAAAGCTAATAAGTATATCTCTATCATATTAGCAAAACTATCCATTCAATATGCGAATATCGAGTTTTTGCATTATTTTATTCAAGTTTTACATTCAACCTAATCATCTCAAGTATCAATTAAGTGAATCTAACGTTTAAATGATGGTCAATTACTTAAAAGCATTAAAAAAAGAGTAAAATAAACATATATATATATATATATATATCATTAATCACAAAAAGAAATGAGAAACTTGGATTTAATCCACATAAGAGTTTCAAATAATTTTAGAATAAAAAATTTAATTACTCATAAGCTTCCACAAATCACAAATACACAAAATATTTGGATTCATTTCACATTACAAGAGAGGAATATAAAAACAAAAGAAAATGAGCTACAAGTGTTTTCAAAACTTCAATTTCTTGATCCCAACTTTTTTAATGCTCAAACCATTGTACAACCAAGCTCTAATATGTCTTAAAGTGAGAAGAATGCGTTTTTGATTGAGCTCCTAGCATATATGCATTTTACCCAAGCATTTATAAATAAATAAAATAAAGCAATTTGCTAACGGCGGCAAAAGTTGCGAACAAAAATCATGATTTCGGGATGATTTTGATAATTGTGCACTGTTTTTGCTATTAACGAAGTTTAGCCTTTACATACTTGATTTTTTTTCATCCAAAAGTATCAGCAAAGTTCATAAATGCATCTAATCAAATTTCAAATCAAAATAATACAAATTTAATTTAAAAATATCAAATTAAAGCCAAATATACAAACCTAGAACAAGATATATATTTTCTTAACTTGAGCAATTAAAATATATATAATTGAGATAAAATATATTAGAATTTAAAAAAAATGTAATAAAATTATATGAAATTTTAGAAGCTAATACACAGCATTAAATTAAGCCAATAAAGTTTCACAACACCCGCATCGTGCTGCTTCTAAATTGTATGATTATACTTTATAAATCTCCATCGTCAACCTGCTCTATATGGAGCTATATAGAGTGGTTGTCAGGGATTGTTTAACAAAATTTTGCCTTTGCATGTCGTGTAATGTTAAACAGATGCAATGTATATCAATGCAAATGATATAATAATCATAATTCATGAATGATTTCATCCTTAAGATCCCTCTCTTCAGGCCACGTGATGGTGCAATATGTCAGCTATAAGTGGGTAAATGCAACATGTTTGGAATATTTTAATATTAGATATTCTTCATTAATTACAGCTTGTTGACCAGGCAAAGGATATATGGGATCATATATATAACAGTGTAGTCTGTAGTCTGTCTATTGAAGCCAATTAATTACCGTGCGTACCCCCATACAAGCGCACCCAGGAATTGCATTCGGTGCGTGTGCTCATCGCAGCTAGGAAAAATCTTGATTCTTTATTTCAACCTTTTTTTTATTTATGTCGTTTATTTAAATTATTTTTTAATTTTTTATAATATTATATTTATTAATTTAAAAATATAAAAAAATTTAAAATTTTAATATATCTGTTTATTATTAATCTGGTCAATATAAATTTAATCTAACAATCCAATTTAATATTAAAAAAATTTATAATTTTATAACTTTACTATACAAATAAACTCTGCTATAATTTAGATGACCTAATTTAATATTAAAAAATTTATAAATTAACCATTTAAGTGTACTATAAATTGTCCATATTTAATATTAATTTTTTTATATTTTTTATTTTAATAAATATAATATTAAAAAATTTAAAAAATTAATTTAAATGGACGACAGGGATTACATAAAGTTAAAATGGAGGCCTAGGATTGCACCTAACCCTGATGAGCACGACCCATCACCTCATCATTGTGATGAATACCGAATGCGAACTCAGCACACCCATGTGGGGTTGGTGTTCAACACGTAGTGTCACAGAGTCAAGATAAAGAAGATGAATCATTTATGCATATACATTTGCTACAAAATGATAAAAATATAATGTTTAATTTATAGTCATTAATTGTGAAGCCCAAACACATATGTACGTACAATCCATTCCAATTCTATAGCTAATAATAAGGGCAAAGCCTGACGGATTGCTCATTTAAATTGAGCTTAAAAACTCAAGCCTTTGTGGCGTTGGCCCACCTGCTTCACAACTCTATCCAACTGAACATGACATGCATGCATACATATTACCCTAGAAGGCAAAGATTATTATGTATGCTAACTTTGAATCTTAAAAAACAAACGTAAATGCACAAAATGGTTCAAGGGAAAATTTAGGGAAAATATACCTGCAATTCCTTATAGTTTCACTTAATTTTAAATTAGGTCCCTACATTTTTTTAATCAAGCCCTTATAATTTCATCTATTACACACGGTGATCCCTAAAAGTTAAATTTAATAACAAATTATTAAGTTTTATAAACAAAAATATTCTTGAAGTTTGCAGAAAATTTAATTTATATTTTTAGCCTAAATAAAAAAAGAAAATTTGATTTAATCCACTATTTATATTTTTATTATAATTTTTTATGAAAATTTTACATATATAAAAATTATTTAGAAGATGACCTAATTATGTAAATTTTGAGTCATAAAAATTATATAATTAATTTTAATCTCATATAATCATTTAATAAAAATATAAAATTTCTTAATTTCCTTTTTTGAAATGAAAAATGTAAGGGTTTTAACTTTTAGGGATTAAAAAACTTAATTGGTTAAACTATAAGGGCTCAAGTAAAACAAAATACATTGTAGGGACTTTATTTAAAATTGAGTGAAGTTGTAAGGATTTGTAAATATATTTTTTCAAAAATTTAAAGTGTATTCCGCATCTGAGGTCGAGAGCAAGTTTGCATTATTAAGAAGATGTGGAAAAATAATTAAAAGAACAGTGTTTTGTTGTGCCATTACTTAATGCTCTTAATTAAATTCAATATATATATCGATCGATGATGGACAGGACATAGATGAATTATATTATATCTGAAACCAATGTGCTACTCACTATAAAGGAAATCAACAAAAATTATGTTTATCTTACGATTGACAGACGGCATTGCATTGGAGGCATGATATTCCATTTCCGATTTATATATACATACAG